GACCAGGCTTCTGACGCATACGTTAGGGCAGGAAGTACCGTTGAGTCGGCTGTTCTTTGTTCTCTTCACTACATCCTCCATGGTCTTAAAAGCTCCCCAAGCCTCTCGTTTCCTTCTGCTCAGCTCTGGAGCTAGGTCGTTCATCATATTGATTTTCCGACCTAGATAGACATAACTGGAGCATTCGGAGATATTCGTTCCATTGAGCGTGAATGGGGCTTACGAAACCAATCCATTCTTCATGAACATTGTTTTTGTGAGTTTTAGTCGAAAGCCAATCTTTCCACAGATTTTATCAAAGTCGGTAAGCACATGTTCCGCGTGGCCAATGTTTGGTGTTATGAGGGCGATGTCATCAGCAAAGCGAAGATGGTATAACTGCCGACCGTCGATTTTCATTCCCATATTATCCCATTCCAATGTTCGCGTGACGTTCTGGAGGGTGGCGGTAAATAATTTTGGCGAGATGGTATCGGCTTGCCTAACCCCTCTTTTGACGTCAATGTTAATATCATTGTAGAATGGTAATGTCTTGGTTGTGAAATTTTTGTAGGGCTCCCGAAGAATCTTTCTGTACTGAGTAGGGACTCCTTGACTATCAAGAGCTTTCATGACTGCTATCTCAATCTCTATCTTTTCTAAAATTACTAGTAGGCAGTAAATAAAACAGTTAGCATTCTCTCATTAATATCAAAGATACCTGAGATATGATGTTATTCGTTTTGTAAGAAGCCCAGTACTTTTTTCACCAAAAACATGCTTACGGACAACTTACTGGATTCAAAAATACACTTTGGAGGTCCAGCCAGGCATGTAGCATCCAAAAATTGTTCTATAGGAAGAGTCCACATCCACTTTCGTAATGAGAATACAGAGTCCAATCTGAATGAAGATGCAAATTACCCGAATCTGCAGTCTTTTCTTTCTTTGCTTAAACGGGAACTTAGGCATTCCTCAACCTAATCAGTTACCGTATGTTTGAATAATAATTAAGCAGATGCAGTCCTTAGACCGCCAACATTTTGCATTTTTGCCGTTTTTTGTTAGGCGTTCTGCAGGTCAACTCATCTTTGGGCATATAACAAAGCTCCCATTCTAGAGTTGGATTTTTGCTAAAAGAATTTTCGTGTCACTTGTACCATAACTTGTCCAACTCTAGCGGATATTCGTAAACTCCAGTAATCGCCGCCTCGTGCCATCATAACTTCTCATTGAATTCCGCCTAATCAACAGAAATCGAAATCATTACACTTTAGGCATGATAGTCGATTTTTGTTGTTCTTGAGTAAAAGGTGCCCCGAGTGCGGGCTATCGTTTAACAAGGTCTTAACTCTAATTCTCAACTGAGCTTCACGACAGAGATGTCGAACCTATTCTCAGTTTGATTGAGGGTAAAGATCTTAAGCCATGGGAGAAAATCTCATTCGTACAATGTACAAGTACATTTTATCCGTCTTGACTTTGGAGCTCAAATAACCCCTATTCTATGTAGTTCTCGTTTACTTTCATCATTAACCAAGTAGCAGCATTGACAATAAGCAATTACACGGATTGCATTGTAACATATACAACCTTTTCTCACACCTTCTGGCTAGACTACGTTGCGAAAAGAAAGGAAAAAGCCAACCATATAGAAGTATTATAGCCGGCGATCGTGCTAAATTATTTGATTGCATTTAGTGCGAATTCAACTATGTGCACCGAATTCGACGTTTCCAAACCCTCTTACCCGATATGTGATTTGGAAATAAGGACGTTGAACAATCAACCTTCGGGTCCTATTTTTTGGATTTTCTTCATCCAGTCCATGCATTCGCTGGTCATGGGTCGGGAGCTCCAATTATGTTTATGTAAAACATATAGTCGTAATTAGCTCCATGTGAATTACTCAATTGTAAGCGAAGTTCAAATTTTTCATCCACAAGACCAACAAGGACTAAAACTATGGCGCGATGAAGCCTAATAACTCAGCGAATGGAAGGGCATCACTCCGACAAGTTCAAAGTCAAGAAAGCACCTCTAATGACATAGGAAACGAAAGAAAACAAAAAAGAAGACCATAACTGACTTTTCACCAAAAACAGTAGAAAATTAAGGGTTTGTTTTATAAATTGCGAGGTAATTCGTGCTTTTTAAGTTAACGGGAGACTAGGAAAAAGTGTAGCTCAAGCAAATGGGCACAAATGAATACTTTATCAGTGTTCGTTCGAGTTCTTCAGTGACTAACGATCTTCTGGCAAAGGAAATTTGGAGGCAAGCTCTGAAAACTAATGTGCTGTATGAATAAGGAAGCACATCTTGAAAGATACCTTGGCTAGACTTCTGAATCTGAATGTTGGTTTGCTTTAGTACGTAGAAGATTCTAGGTTGAAATATTTGGTCAAGATGATGCACGTGAGAATGATGTGAGTTGGCCTGCAATTTGACGATCTGTTATGTCTTTCTATCCAACTGGCGTGGTAAGTGCTAACTGCATCTGGTTCTCCGCTCAGTCCAAATTCGACCTCATAGAGCGTTCCAAAGTCTTCACCGCAGGCAGTCACAGTCGTTGCGGATTTCAAGCAGGTTTACTGCCCTACATTCACCTAGGACGACTCTAGTGTTATTCCAGAACCAGAGCGATTCCCATGACCTGCCAACAGGCAACGATTTGACGAAGAGACTCTACGTTAGTCACAATTGGTCCCATATTCCACTGTGTACTTAGCTTTAAGTATACTATAATATCTAATAACTAATTACTGATTTCATCCAAATTTTCTTTACTTAAACTTTTGGTTCTAACTATATCAGAAAATCGTCGATTAAAGAAGAAATTCATCGCTGCATTATGTTTGTTTCTGTTCAAAACGGAGATTCCTTCCTTAAGATGGTATGTGAGAGATGTATCATTTTCATGGATAATTGACAACGAGGCAAAGTTGAGCAATGCGAGACGATTGAAGAGAAAGTGGTTGTTAAATATTTCATAGAATGGAAGGGCATCACTCCGACAAGTTCAAAGTCAAAAAAGCATTTCTAATGACATAAAAAACGAAAGAAAAGAAGAAAAGAATCAGAAAGAATGAGGATTGGATGATGCAAACAGTTAAGAGGAAAGTATGAAAGAAAAAACTAAGGAATTCTAATTCCTCTTTCGTCTTTTTCCTGCTTATCTTTCATTTGTTGTTCATTTTGTTAACGTTTTTTTAGCACTAGGAAGGGTGAAGGTAAAAAATAAAGCGTTCGGTTTTGATTAATCCTTTAGGTTATGTTATGCATTCGACCCAATTCGTAGAATCATAGGGGCGGTTGAATTCATATTTGGCACATACAACGACTTTTAGAGACCCATCTGATCTATCAACTCCGTGAATTCTATGCTCCCTCGTAGACATGTCCACGATCAATTCGTCAAACTCGGAGGGAAGGGGAACTTGGTGTGTCAGGGTGCCAGATCCAACCGACGATATTACATGCATTCCAAGCACTTAAGCACACTTAAGCAATGAGCTATACGTGCTCTTATTACTATAACTCTATAATTACAAGTCGGAAATATTCTGCTGGCACTTCACGTAGCAATTCCCAAGATCGACTTTCTTTTAACCTTGGCATTGATTGATGATTCGATGTTTTTCTTCAATAAGCAGACACGAAATTGTTATTATAGAATTTATTAGGATACAATAGCTGACGTTTCGGCGGTTTCGCGTTCTTCAGAGCCTGGAAAGGTCAAACTGACATGACTAAGAAATGAATTTGCATTCGTATAAGAAACAGTTTTACTTAAACACCTACCGTTTATTCGTTGTAATTCAGCATTCACCCGTCAACGGGATTGATCTGGAGAGCCCAAATCGGCATTGAACCCAGCTAAGCTGAGGCTATAGTTATAATCACAATCTTAACCTTTTTATTTACTGCTTATTCTTTTTAACGGCATGGTATTTTACTGATGGCAAAAGATCGATAGAACTAGCTGAGTGAAAGGCGAAACGAAGGACCCGTATGGTGTGGTGGTGAACGCGTTACTCTCCAGAAAGGACAATAGCGCGTTGGTTCCCCACCGCAGACAGCTGCAATCCGGAGTTTTGCAAATATCTCAGCATTATAGAAGTTATATTTCGCAACATACTCTGCCGTTAAAAAGAATAGGCAGTAAGTAAAAGGGTTAGGATTGTTATTGATTAAGTTGCGAAGTAGTTTGACCAACTTGATTTGATAGAAAGGAAGAATAAAATGCTGTGTATAACAAACATAGAAAAAAGTTAAAGTTTTAAATAGTCTGGAATATTCCACTATATTCCAATATCTTATTTAACACTCTCGCGACAACGCCTTGTCGCCGGTTTGTTGTGGAGTGGACGATGCCTAATTTTCGGCCTTGCTGGTTTTTTGAAAACAAACAATGGTTATAAATACGTCGTTTTCTGTTTCAGCAACCGTAGGCTTGTCATAAGGCATACGTTCACTGCCGTGCAAAAACAAATACAACACAATCGTGGCTGACGTCTCGGCAGCATAGCCTTCTTTAGAGCTTGGAAGGTTAATTTGATACGCAATTTACCTGGCCAAACGCTTCGATAACACAAACAGGAAGGTGAAAATTTATGTGTGAATCACATGATCAACAGCTTCTCGAAAAATCCACCGTTTTTACGTGCCTTCCACTGAGGAAGATTAGAACAGCTGATTACAGTCGCATATCGTTAATCACTGACTACGCCACCCCACATCAAAAGTTGATGCGAAGGTATGGAGCCAGGTTATGTGTGACCTCTGGGAATTCTTCCCTGCTAATTATTGTAGGGTTCCTGGGATTTGTTCAAAAATCCCCAAGAATTTTGCGCGTTACTGTTTCGGCATCCTGTGCGAGGATAGTGACTTTTATATCAAAATCGAGAGTGTTAATATATTATTCATTTAATATATTATATTATGCTTTATGCTAAACGGCAAGAAATTACAATAACTTGCTATGGCATTCATTGCAGGCTTAATCGAAATTATTCAGGTAAATGAAGCGTCAAAGTAGTGGTAGATGTATTTTTGCGTTATCGATTGTTGTCGAGGGTTTCTTTTTCCAGGTGATCGGATTGGAAGGTATACCGGTGTACACGCATTTCTTCTTACACGATAATCGTTGGGCATTCGGTGCATTCCTATGTGATTTATGGCTTTCCGTTGATTACATCGTCTGTCTTGCATCCATCTATACAGTACTTGGGATTACTGTTGATAGGTAAGTGAATTATAAAATATTTAGGCAAGCACAAACCAGGGCTCGAGAGATTACTGCCGCTATGCAAGAGATAGGTATTGGTTGGGGTCTCGTTACGATCTGAACAAATGTGATGTTTAATGGCATACATGTTTTCAGCATTACACCTACTACGACTTCACCTTTTTTTAGTCTTAGACTTTTATATAAGTCTGAAACCGTACTTTGCTTTGTTTTACCTACTCTTATAATAAAAGCTAAAAAGCTCTCGGCGTCGATCAATCATGGAGGGTGCGTCATGCGTTCGACATCATTAGGCATCGTCGGAAGTAATTGAATGCATATTAGGCATTTATAATGACTCGCGGTAGCCTTATCGAGCCAGTGCTACTATCCTCTCAGACAAGTCTGGTACCAGTTTGCCGACCTTGGAGGGATGGAAGGCTTTGTGGGCCATGGGCGCGGGGATCGATTCCACGTGTGTGTTGCAGGGCGCCTCCGACCACTGCGCTACATGCGCCCTTATTGCGGTTGAATCACACATAATACCCTGCCGTGAAAAATTGTGATAGGCAGTAAATGAAAAGGTTAGCATTGTAATAACGATAGTAATATTACTTCGTATACAGTACAATCTATGCTGCCATTTCAGATATTGTTCTGTGAAGCATCCGGCCACTTACCGTAATTGGCGTACATCACAACGGGTTATGTTAATCATTGCCGTTATATGGATTGTAAGTGTTATCAGCACTTCCTAGAGGTCCATTTTCAAGTTCTGAACTGTTTGGGAAAAGAAACCAACTAGATCGACTTCCGATCTTGCGCATTGAATTCTATGCATTTTATTTCTAGTTGTTTCTTTTAGCGTGCCAACTTGTTTTGCGACACTTCTTCCATAGAACTCGAAAGCTCACTTATCGTAGGTGTTGTACCTGCCTACAAAATAGCAAAAAAGCTGTTTTCTTCACGTTATAACTTACAAAAAAAAATCAGTTATTGGGACGAGTTTACTTATCTCCGTGAATATACTGTTGATTCTTCGTCTGCTTTCCCACAAATGGAGTAGCAGATACGCTGTTACATGTTTATAACGATATTAAACTGTTTTTGCCAATTGCGGTTATATTATTGATTCTGTCATGAAGTATTGATTAGTTGGACCACCACCATTAAAACCATTTTCAACTCTGTCACGGGTCAGAACTCTCCAATAGACTTGGGTCAGTCGTTAAACACGAGAAGCATCCACTTCCATCAATTGCATGAGGCACCTTATTTTTGTTGCTTTTGCATGAAGATTAACCACGGGTAGCTTGTTGAGCTTTGTCGTGAAAGCTGGTATTCTCCTATGCAGCTTTCTCGAGGTTTCTCAAATTTCAGGCGGCTAGATAGAAGGGGCCTATAAGTGGGACATGATTTCTCGGAGCACCTCCTATGGGGCTTGCTGACCTATCAATTTCAGTTTTTCGTAGCCAAATCGTACCGTGGACAATCCGCACACACGTAAGGATACCTATGTACATACCCACGATTGCCGTAAGCATCTGCGAAAGCCGCAAGTCATGCGAGTCCAGCAAATATATCAGCTTTATTTCCTGGATAATACTGAGCCCTAGGAGAAGCACCACTTCTGGGAACGTTCCACGTGCTTCTACAGGTGTAGCATGAACTCATTGAACACTTGAATTGTAGTTATAGTCCACAAGGTCTGACTTTTTATTTACTGCCTATTATTTCTTCACGGCAGGGTTCTGTGTGAAATACAAGCAGAATGATGCTGAGATATTAGGGTAAAAAACTGGCTGAGAGAAAGGCAAAACAAGGACCTATTTGGTGCAGTGGGTTGCAAGTGAGCGCCCCGGAGAAAGTAATCGGGGTGCGAATCTGGTCTGGGACCCAAGTTTTGCAAGTATCTCAGCATCATTGAGGTTGTAATTTTCTTTTTGTTCTTAATTTGTAGTTTTTGTCTTTCGTTGTCTTTTGTTTTCTATTTCAGGTTCCAAGTATATTATTCTCATTATCAATATTCGGGTATGGAACGTTTACGGGTGAGTGAACGTATATATAGTTCTTTCTTTTTCCCTATTTTTACCGTTGTTTTAACAAGTATCCAGTGACATACAACAATAAATAATTAGCCGTTCAGAATTTCATAGGAACAAGCTTCTATTACCAAAGCAGACTAGTCTGTTAAACGAATAGAACAGTTTTCAACCTACCGGAATTACTGTTGAGTAAAATTGACGGTGTACAGAACAGTACAGTGAGGTTACGGTTGCGCCTGATTGTTCTACAGTTCAGCTCCTCTGCTCTGTCCACCAACTCTATTTTTTTAATAGTTGCTAAATCAGTTGCTAATTTACTTGTGAGATGTAAGATGGTTGCACCTGCGTCGGTTGCCCATCAGCAATCGTGATGTGCAGCCGAATTCAGGGTCACATTTCTATTTATTTACTTGTTTTACAAGCCTTGTCTTAACATCTCGCAATACTTCTCCAATTCAATTCGTTTTCTCACATCCATCATCCAGGAAGGTTTTTAAACCCTTTGCATATTTGTCCGACTTCTGCCCAAGGTTTCCCAAATTTTTCTAAAGAATGTCGTTACTGATCGAGTCGATTCGTTCTGTGCTCCAGGGATGTAAGATGGTTGCACCTGCGTCGGAGGGATAACCGCTCTAGAGAAGCCTCATGTGGATAAAGAATGAGCCTGCCCTACACAGGTCTGGCACTAATTCCTCATGTAGTAAGCTCTGTAAGCCGAGCGAGAGGCGTCCGCACCCTAAAAGAATCGCATCCAGAATCACGTTCGTAAAAAAATTTAGGGGAAGTAGTTATGGAACCTAATTCTGGTGCGGCATATCGTCCAAATTCTTCAACGTTGTTAACGATGCCCATAACTTTTTCAAATGTTGGAGGATAGTTATCGAATAATTTTAACTCATTACTTACTACCTACCCTTTTTAACGGCAGGGTATACATTGTGAAATATTACTTCAATGATGCTGAGATATTTGCAAAACTCCGGACCGCAGGTGTCTGCGGTGGGGAACGAACGCGTTATTGTCCTTTCTAGAGAGTAACGCGTTCACCACCACACCATGTGGGTCCTTCGTTTCGCCTGTCTCTCAGCTAGTTCTGTTGATCTTTTGCCGTTAACAATCACCCGTCAACGAGATTGATCTGGGGAGTCAAAATCGGCAACGAACCCAGTTAAGCTGAGGCCGTAGTTCTAATCACAATTTTAACTCGTTATTTACTGCCTACTCTTTAAATGCTTCAATGTTTTTGCCACAACTCAGCTATTAATTTCCTCCATTGTGGGCATATGATCCACCGTTTTTTAAACGATTTTTCAGGCCCTGTATGCTTGAGTTGCTGTTCTTCATCAAAATTTCTGCTAATTTTGTTGAGATGACAACGACAACTATTAGAAGATTAGGCGACAACCTCTTATATCGTCTTTAGCTCTTGTGCAACTACGCGATTCTGGCAATTTGCATTAAATGGGACTTTTGTGCAGCCGATTGTTGATGAGGGCTAGCGGCAGGTCCCTCAGATGTTCGTATACAATCTTACCTGAGTCGGTAGCTCTAAGATCTAAAACCAGTAGCTCTGTCAAAGAATTGTGAACTTTTTCATTTGCGATAGGACCGCTAGGACTACATATCCCTCTGCTCGACATGGTGTAGATGGATGTCATCATAGTTGTCAGGAAACAAGTTCTGTAGGCAGGAATTTTGGAAGTCCTCCACTTTTTTCGATACAGCGGCGTCCGATATTTTCGGAGGACCGTGATCTTGCCCATTCAATTCTCTGCATCTACATCCACTACTATTAATCATCGCTCCTTAAGGGTTCTGTTACAGTTTTGCTTCAGAATTTTATTTTACAAGGTCGAAGGCGATTTGCTTATTACTTCCGGTCCGTACAGTTCCACATTGCCGTTTGATCTCAAACGTTTCTCGAAATAAGCATAATGTATTTGTGAATTCTAACATAAGTTTCGTGGGCTTTGTTAAGATTGCAATGGAGGTACTAAATATGCCACTTTCGATGTTTTCGGTAGATGCGCTTTCCCAAAAAGGCATGAATTAGGTGCACAAATTCCTATTTATAGCCTTATGGAAGAAACCTCCTAGGAATCTCATTTCGTTTCCACTCCTGTTTTCCTTTCCTTCTATAAAATTTTAGTCTTCCGCGAAAGAGGCAATTTTCCAATCCAGTTGACCCTGGTGGACAGTAACAAATCGGTTTTACAAAATCTCTAATTTATGAAGGTTCATTGTGCAGATAGAATCCTGCGTCAAGAAGATTACTAGGGTTGAATTACCATGAATGATTTCAAATATCGTGTTTAACCTAGGTGGCTTCTCGCCTTATTTATCCCATTCCAAGCCATAATTCTGTGTGCCGCATTCCTTAGACCTTTTTGGAACTAAAGCCGCTAATAAAATTATGTCCTACTAGGATTGATTCTTCTGGTAGAATTTTTCTAATCTGTATGAATCGCTTAGATCTTATCTTTGTCGTAGCTTGAAAGTAGGCGAAGGCAATGAGAGATGTTAAGGCCGGCGTTGGTCCACGATTTTCCAGCCATAAATATCTCAATCGTGTCCTTAATTATCCATAGGAATTAATGTTCGTGGCGTACTGCTGCTGGAAGCGATACCAAGTTGTTTTGTTGTCGCATGTTTACTGTTGTTTTTTCTTTATTCTAACATTTTTCTCAGTTGGAGTTTTATTGACAGTTACTTACCATGGCTTTTCAAATGATGCATTCCGATTTTTCTTAGGTTACATCACCAGATTCGGAACGGAAACACCTTCGCTGGTACGCGTAGAACAAAAATGATCCTGAGGTTTTAGCGACCTTTCCATACTCGTCTTAACTATTGCTCATCACCATAGTTTCTTTCATGGTCAGATGAGCGGCGCTTTTGCTATTCTGAAGAAAAAATTTCAGAAATAATAGGTATAGTTCTATCGAGAAAGCTGAGTTTACTCATAGTTAACTTCTTGCACTTTTTAGAGTAGCTATAGAGGTTACTTTCGAAGAAAAAATCAGATCGAATTTCACGTTCTTCTTGGTCCACGGTTGAAGGTTTTTGCCGGAGTCAAAGTGCGCAGTACAATCCAGACATTTACCAACGCCTAAAGCGCTCGTCGTTGAACAGTCACAGGCAATTGACTCTAGTGTTTTTCTCATACCTGAAAAGTGTCGTACCAATTTTCCGAACACGGTGGGATGAAAAGATTGGTTCGGCCGCGTCCTGGACTCAAAAAAAACGACATCGTGTTTATTGAAAGGCACCTCTAACCACTGACTTGATCCGCCTAATTGAACAAATACTAGTAAAAAGGATACCTGATCCTTGAGTTCCTCTGATTTCCATGACAATTAAGGTAGTTACTGGTCAGCGCGTAATGACTGTACCCGCAATTTGAGAGCGAAGCCGTAAGCACAACTAGTAGCTGGCTCGAGATCCCTCCTATTAGCGCTGGAATCTCAGAAAACGTGCTCGGACTTTCCTAGTTCGTTGTCGCTATGCCGCCAGTCTGATTTTGTTAGAATTAAAATGATTATAAGGCACTGTTTATTCCAAGCTGTGCCTCAGAATGAAAATAACGAACTCCATATCATTTTGGTAGAAACTGCCAAGGAGATTCCTTACTTGAATATTTCTCATAAACAAAACTCTCAATTTTTCCCGATGAAAGCTTCCTTTAAGCTTACTTCATTCAGTTGAGATCTACACTTTTGATTCAAAATCTACGCGATTGCAGGCAAAGGTCGAATGCTGAAAGAAGATGAATGCTATGTGCAGTTTATGACGAATCCGTATTTGAATATGGGAATGTACGTCTCATACTATTGGTCAACATTATTCGTTATGCTCTATCTTTATTACGGTATCTATCGAGCAGCTAAGAAGCTTGCAATGAAAAGCGAACAGGTACGAGATACGGTAATAAAATTATGACTATAGTGTATTTATTGTTTCTTAACTACAGAAGACGAAAAGATTGGCATTACTTACGGAGTTACGAAAGCCAGATTCATCAGCAAAGACCAGTGATGCGAATAAAAGCAGCTCCGATTCACCAAACGACAACGACACCAACGACAGCAGCAAGTTCGTAGAGACGACACTAGTACTATTACTGTCACTGATACCATTTTCACTCAAGAAAGCCGAAGTTTCTCATTTCCTGAGCTGTATCAATCTCATGTGTTAGTAGTCCGAACGGTCCTACTTTTACCGACAACAAAAGTGTTGGGATTAAACGACTTTAGAAAAATGTGGTGGAATTGCTCCTCTTACTTGGCCCTCGATGTTTTCGCTCCGATTTTCGACCCAACACCAATAACTTTTTTAGGTCCTTGAAGAAAAGACCTTTCTTCAGAAAATTTTTTTCGAATGCAATCCTATCATTATTGAGATGTCTTTATTAGATTTTCGAAAACTGTTCCGGTGATCGGGATGGCTAAAATTAAAGTAATCATTTTTCTTGGTTTATCTCTTAGTTAACGTTATTCCAAAACTCCAGTTATCTCTTGCATTCAGTAACCCATCAACTTTCATCTAAACTTTTTAAATGTTCATTGCCTAAATGTGATTGACCATATTATTTTTCATGAATGAGTATTTTCAATTTTCTCAGTCCAGAACACTTCTTTTCTCTTCGTCTTTTCCTACCCTTATAAATCAAATTCTCTGTTTCTCCTCTTCTCTAGAAAAAAAACAAACGATTTTTCGTTCTTTCCTTTTAGATGTCATCCCTTCTCTACACGTTTCCTCTCAACGCTTAGTCTCAAGGGAGTTGATTCGGTTTCTATATTATGTGTGTGGCCAGCCATTCGTCTTCGCATCTCATCGGACGTATATCAAGCGAAGCGAACACTCTGACCATTCCCTCAAAACAATTAAATCCACAAGAACCTACAGAGGCAACTAAAATAAAACGTTGCTAGATCATGAATGAGAGTGTTGGTTCGACTTCTTGCTGACCATCACGCCTATGCACTTCTGATGAGGTCAATTTGCAAGATTCTCTTTTCGGTTCTCTATAAATAAAAAAAGGATAAAGCTCACGGTGCTGACCATTCCACGAGGAATGCACCATGTATCCGACTTCATTAAGCATTGTTGAAGCCGATTGAATGCATATAAGGTTTACAATGAGTCGTAGTGGCCTACCGATGTATCGAGCAAGTGCTGCTATCCTACCAGACAATTGGTGGGCCTGTAGCGCAGGGTACGATCCCATGTGTGTTGCAGGACACGTACAAAGATATGGTCGGAGGCGCCATGCAATGCACATGGGATCGATCCCTGCTCCCTAAGATCACCAAGCGGCGAATGGGTAACAGACCTGTCTGGGAGGACATCATCAGACATGCATTTGATCACCTGATGCTTAAAGAATTCGAACGCATGGTGTATCCCTCAGGGATTGATCAACTCCGAGAGCTTCATCCTTTATTGGTTCTCTATACTGCCGGAAAATTGATGCTATACCAGACTGTTTTGGAGAATTAAAAAAACCGATTTCGCACATGGTAGTCATCTATAAGTTATCTTAAAGGATATATAGACATTCGTGACTTTTAAGGTGACTAACCAGGGCGAATACATGACCCATTCCCCAGAAATTAATCAATGTCACAGGCCTGTCAATGTCTTCTTTGTCGCTTTGATTACACTTGCGCTTGTACTGTGCAATTTGGAATAGTTATGATGTTTAGGCTTGAGAATTCACACAGGTAATGACATCATCCAGGCATACATGTTTCTTTTTATTTGCTTCACATGCCCATATCCTTCGTAATCTTTTCCATTTTTTGGCGAAATGGTCGTCTAATTAGTCGATAGGAAGAAATCACTCAGTGAAATTTGATTCTCACGACGAATGACGTGCTTTATTTAATTCGCGACCTTAACGACCTTAACAATGATCTCAATGCAGAATTCATAAAGAAGTTTTCTTATTTATGTGGCAGCATTTATTTGTAATAGAAAAATACTTCCTAAAACTCTCGTGACGACGCCTAATCTCGGGTTTGTTGCGGACGACGCCTAATTTCCAGTTACTATGGATTTGGTTATCTGAAAGTGAACAATAATTTTTCAATAACTAGAGGACTTCGTGGGTTGTCAACATGAATTACTGTAGAAACGACTTTGTTCTATCGTTCTATGGGTACGAGTGATATTTATTTTGCTATTTACTACATGTTATTTGGTCCAAACGTGGCGCGTGTGGCGCAGTGGTTGGAGGCGCCACTGCGACATACACGTGGAATGTACCAGACTTGTCTGAGGGGATAGGAGAACTGGCTCGATACATCGGTAGGCCATCACGAATTATTGTAGAGGCTAGCATTAAATTCCCTCCAACGATACTTAACGAAGTCGAATGCATGGCGCATCCTTCAGGGATTGATCAACGCCGAGAGTATTATCCTGTTTATTATGGTCCATCGTACAAACAAAGTACTGTCAACATTTGGAAGTCTTTTGCAAATTATGAGTCTAAATTTCGGTATTTTTTATATCCGCAGAATCCATACGATTACTATCCTTCATTATGGCGATTAGAATTGAAATGGTCGGAAAGTGCTCAAATTACTGGATAGTGAGCTCGTTGGGAAAACGGTTTCTTGTTCCTGGCCAAAGCCCGTCACAACATTTGTGCTGCAAACTATCTTTTGCTAACAGAAAGTGCAGAAAAACAGTCTTATTTGCTAAAATAATCCTAAAAAAATGGGAAATGTAGATGTCTTGCCGGCCACTCTCCCAAGACTATTATGACACCTATAGGTGTCATTCGTCGCTAGGGTGTTAAAAAACCTTTCTTTACCAGGAAATTAAAATGGAAATTATGGTGAATTCTACACGACTTTTCGTGGAAGCTGGCTCTTAAACTATTCAAATTAAATGAGTAACTCAATATTCACAGTTTGTGTTGCCAGGAAGAAAAGTTTGAACCAAACGCTGAGGTAAAATATGCACGGTGTTTAATCAGTTGAGATGAATGAATTTCAGAGGAGGATAGAAAAATGAAAAAATGATAGAGTGAGAGAGAGGATTTTTCATATATCTCACCTTATCCTTGCAATATCTTATCGGTATATGTGGACAAGATATCACATCATATCCTTGCGTGCTTTCACATTTATTCCAGAAAAGTGCTTCGGATTGCAGCGGAATTGATAAGGGCATGAAACTTTAAAGTTCCTTATGAGTTTAACTTTTGCCCTTTGTTTTTGGTTTTTTGAATCACTGTTCCAAGTTCGTTCCAAATCAAAGGAATTTTACAAAAGAGGGCTAAATATTTCTCTTTCTTACAACAGAGAATTTAAAATTTAACGGTGATTTTGCCGACAAGATATTCTTCTTTGCAATAGACATGTATTACACAGTTATGTACAGTAACCAATGTGTCACCTAGTGGGCGAGTAGCACAGTGGTAGGGATGTCCGTCATCACGAGCACGGTGCTAGTTCGACTCCGCTTCGGGCCGACCAAGCCTCTCGTCCCTCCGGGGTCAGGAAATTGGCAGTGGACTTGTCTGCAAAAAAATCACTCTTCAATCCAATTGGGAACGCTCCAGCTCTGCTAACTCAGTACTCCAGGGAGAGTTGCTCGACCAGCATTTCACGACATTCAAGATGAAATGAAAATCCTCAAGCAGCAACCGAAGTTACACGTAAAAGTTGGGAGATCTTCGCGGACAATGGATGTGAGGAAATGAATCGAATGTGAGAAGTCATGGGATGCGCACAGTAGACATGAAGACGGGTCGTATAAAATAAAAAAAAGTGTTACCTAATATTTAAAGGGTAGCTAAAAAGTTAAGGGGCAGATAGAACTACGGCATTTAAGAGATTAGTGAGCACTGTAAGCTACTTTTGCTCAATAATTTTCACAATAACTGTTAATCTGAGAAAAGCACATTCATATAATACCGTAGCGAATCTTGGCGTTTTTTCGCAGATCTCGTCAAACATGGCACCTCGTCTGCATTGTGATTGTTGACATGGTGCAGTTGCCGGCAAAAGCGAGAATATTTTGCGATTTTACGCATACTATCGTAAAATTATGGCTGGCAATCATCGTTTTGAAGTGGTGCTTGATTGAAGTTGCCGACGAAACGCACATACACAACATAATTCGTCTGCTTACATTATTACATATGAGTTGCACGAAAGAATTCAATCAAATTGGCACTCGTTGGGTCAATCTTCGGAAGCTGGCCATGCTAATAAAATTGATGAGTCCCAAAATAGATTCAGGGCCGAAGAAAGAGAACATCCACAGAGACTTGGCGAACTTAGAGAAGCCTCATTCAATCACAAATATGATGATTTCTATGAAAGAAGAGCTAGCTAACAGAAAAATTATAGTAGGCAGCAAATAAAAAGTTAGCATTGTGATTTCAACTGCAGTCTCGGCTTAACTGGGTTCAATGCCAATTTAAGCTCCCTTGATCATTCCCGTTGACTGGTGAGTGTTGACGGAAATACTCGATAAAACCAGCTGAGAGACAGGCAAAATAAAGGACCCGCATGGTGTGGTGGTGAACACGTTAGGCTCCGGAAAGGGAAATAGCGCGTTCGTTCCCCACTGTAGACATCTGCAGTTCGGAGTTTTGCAAATATCTCAGCATTATTGTGGTTGTATTTCTCATTATACCCTGCGTGAAAAATTATAGTTGGCAGCAAATAAAAAGCTAGTATTGTGATGCTTTCTGTTTTTGTACCAAGGCACTAGTTTCTTTTTTAAGAAGATTCCAAGAAAAATAGCGCTTCAAAAGTGGAATTTAATATTTCAGGAACTGCAAACAAACATCATCATCTGGAGTAGAAGTGACAACACGCCCACCATTTGTTCGAAACACAGTGACAATGCATAACAATTACATTAATCACTGCGCAACCAAATATTCCCCAATCCAGAGGTAAGTGGTAGTCCTTCTGAATTTTATGAAACACCAAAGCACTCAACGCTTACAGTCCAACACCTATAGGCTTCGTGAAAAGAGAAACTTTGAGAGCATGGTTAAAGTTCACGTGCAGCGCAGTGGTTAGAGGTTTCGACTCCGTATCCAAAGTAACCATTCCGTCCTCCTTCTGGAATCGAAAGGCTGCTCCAACACCCTTGTGTTGAAGGGAAAACATGGTCATAATGTACAAATAGGTCGAATTGGCGAAATATGCATCCAGTCACATAAATGATGTTGCAAATGGAGTCGAATGCCATAGCGCATATCTTAAGAAACGATCAGAGCCGGGCGTTTGGTCCTTTTTCCATCATGTTCAGACCATATGTTCCCCATATTGAAGAGTCACTAATTAGTATGAGATTTCTGGAACATAAAGGATAAAAAGGATATAACATTCGACGTTGATCAATTCCTGAGGTATTTGGAATGCGTTAGTTTCCGTTCGTAACATCGTAGAGGTGGTCGAGTGCATACCTATATGACGACTTGCGGCGACCTATCGAGGTATTCATTCAGTGTTGCTTTCCTCCTAGGAATTTTAGGTCTCACTTTGCCAACTCCGGAAAGATGGAAGGCACGGTTAACCCGTGGGACCGGATCGAACCAACGGCCAATTGTGTACTGCAGGGCATCCCTATCCACTCTGCTTCATGCCATCTCACTTTTACATCACTTGTCATCTGCCTCTTGCTAATGGTCATGTGATTCAAGCGGCTGCCAATATGCCTTCCATTTCACCATGTTTTCTGCAAGAGTAGCACAGTGGCTTCTGCTCTCTCTAGGAGCTCGTTTAGCATCGCATGCTTCTTTTAGGGTTCTCGTAAAGGATTCTGAACGTCGGGAGAGTTCTTTTTCTGCTCTGCGTTTGACATTCCGGGGAACCTACGCCCTCTCTCACTTGCATGACACGGGATACTGCTAGCATTTTTCTTACGACTGAGGATTCCACAGCAGTGAGAGGTCTTTTATCCTGCTCACGTAGCGACGAGGTTTCTGGCGCATACTTCAAAGCAGGGAGAATCGTGAAGTCGAAAGGTGGGCGCGTGGTCGAGTGTTCCATGTTTTCTTCGCCACATCCTGGACGCTGTTGAAAGCCCTAGGAGTCAGTCGCTTCCTCCTACTCAACTTTGAAATTAACTTGTCCATCGTGTCGATTTCGCGAAAGAGATAGACATTGCTGGAGCATTCGAAGATATTCCTACGATTGTGTCTAAATGGGGCATTCGAAACCAATCCGTTCCTCATGAAAATCGTATTTGCGAGATTTGGTATTGACCAATCTTTCCACAGGATTTATCAAAGTCGACAAGCATTTATTCCGCCTGGTTATTGCTCGATATTATGAAAACGATGTTACCAAGAAAGCGAAGGTGGTGTAATTCCCGACCATCGATGTTCACTCCCATGTGATCCCACTCCAATGTCAGCACGTTGTTTTCGAGGGTTGTGGTAGATAATTTTCGTGAGATGGTATCACACTGGCTAACCCCTCTTTGGACGTCGATGTTAATATCATTTTTAGAACGGTAATATCGTGAATGTGGAATTTTTGTACAGCTCACGAAGAATATTGATATATCGAGTAGGAAATCCCTAGCTATCCAGCGCCTCAGTGACTCCTTCTGTCTCAACTTAGTCAAAAACCTTCTTCAAATCGATGAAGTGACCCAGAGTGGGCTCTTCTAGGCTCGCGATACTTCAGTCTTGCGATCATGTGAATGTGGTCCATCGTACTGAATCGTATTCGAAACTCTGCTTGGTCACATCGCTGTCCTTCATCCAGTGTTCTACCAATCGTGTTTAGCATCACTCATTTGGAAAGTTTGTAGACCACAGATAGCAATCAGATTGCGCGACAGTTGCCGATGTTGTGGAGATTACCGTTCTTGAAAATTAGCACGGTTTTACTGGTCTTCTACCTAAGAGGAACCTTGCATTCAGACAGGTTACGTGGGTAAAGCTGAGCCAATATGTTTATGAGGAAAGACGGAAGATTCTCCAGATGTTCAGGTCTCTTCCTAACTGGACCAGATATTGTTAGATTCTCCATCGATGAAACGGTACCTCGAATTTGGAAAGGGAGAGCCTGTAAGACCAAACTCTCTTTTGAACTCTCTGCCTGACTAGCGCTAACGCAACGATTTTTGGCAAAACCGGTCGCATTCCCTATTGATATTATCGATGCGGCACCTTCCTTAGAGCCTACTAATGATCTAAATAAATCCTACCAACTAATGTCAAAAGCCTTCTTCAAATCGATGAAGTGAGCCAGAGCGGTCTCTTCTAGGCTCTAAATATCTAAATATTAAATATCTAAATAAATCCTAGTCTATGGTAGTTTTGAGACCTAATTTTCTGCCACGACCGACTTTCTATTAACCTCGGAATTGATCAAGTAATTTTCTTCGTATTTTTGTTGAGCAAAACAACACAGGCGCGAAAAACTCTCGAGGCACTCTGGATTAATTCCAGAAATCCGAAAATGAACCGCAGGGAAGAATACCTCATTATCACGCGTGATATAGGGCAGTATATAAAACTGCTTTTGTGATATGAGAGGCAAATTATACTTCCATGTGATTTCTGTGCGGTTGGTCTCTACGTGACATACTTAGTGGAAACCTCATAGGAAGCGGTGAGTGTGCAAAGCTGTGTTTAAAGTGATTGAAATCTTGGTTTAGAGTTTCTTTGTTTGGTTATGGAGGCGTCTGGCCGAGTAGATTGCTATCAACTTGACCTTTCCAGGCTCTGAGGAAGGCGAAATCCGCCGAAATGTCAGCTTAATCGTGAACAAAGAATAATAACACCTCGCGTTTGCTCAACAAAAATACGAAGAAAATTACCTAATTTTCTTTTTTGATTTACCGGCTTGCTGTCCTTTCCGTGGCAAGTGAAATTAGGAATCTTGCACTAAAGAGATGATGATCAGATCCCGCGTAGAATTTAGGACAACAGTGACATGGGTTAGGCAAAACTTATGATTTGCTATGATGTGGCCCATTTCGTTGTCGTGATCTACATGAAGAAACTCCATCATCCAGCGTTGATTGTTGGGCTTCTGGAAATGTAAGCTACCATGAGCGACCAGTTACCTAAGAGTCGCGACAAACTCAGCAACCACTTACCCTGCTATGGCATTCCAATCCGTGGACCCCAATGTGACGTTTTTCAGACGTTCTTCTGGGTTCATTGATAGCGCTAAAATTTCCAATGATGACCTTGAAGAATGTATGGTCTTCTCTAAAGAACTTGTCCAAGTCCTTATAGAACGCTTCGACTTCTTCTTCGCCATAGTTTGATGCCGGTGCGTAAACGACGATGATTGTCAAAGGCGGTATTAATCCTCATCTCTTCAATCGTAAACGCGCTATTCGGGTTGTTATTTGTTCTAATGAATCTATATTCACCCGAGTTAAAGTGAACGTCGACGTCGCCGACTGCTCTACTGTCGCATGTTCCGAGGAACAGTTTCTCTCCGGTATCACAAACAGTGTGAAATGGGTAATGTCTTCTTGTCTCATCTAGTCCGGTGACATCGTACCTTGTCCTTCTTGCACACATGATCAAGTCATCTATCGTGGATTCAGATGCAAGTGATCGTTTATTGTATCTGCAGCTCGTCACTTTAGTCCTTTGTGTTTTAGGCAGCCTGGAAAAACCTTGAGATTCTAAGAGCCTCTCCTTTGTCACTTGATTGCAGGCTTTTGGCCGAATTTACTTGTACAATACAATCCGCATAAACTAGAACACACCCACGCACGCATGCATGAGTAGGAAGATAAAGGATGAAGCTCTCGGAGCTGATCAATCCCTGAGGGATGAGCCATGCATGCGACTTCATTAAGCATCGTTTAGAGGTGATTGAATGCATATCCAGCCTTTACAATGACTCGCGGTGGCCTACCGATGTATCGAGCCACTGCTGCTAACCTCCCAGACAAGTCTGGTAGCAATTTGCCGACCCCTGAAGGATGGAAGGCTTGGTGGGCCATGGGCGCAGGTATCGATTCCATGCGTATCGCAGAGGGCCTCCTATCACTGCGCCACACATGCCTTATGCATGAATACGCCCTCGTAAATACAGAAGGTATCTGCCAAATCGGTGCAGCAGGAACGGCAGTTCATCCACTGGAACCACCTGCGTTTCAGGGAAATATAGGGTCGCTTTTTGCTCGTGATTAACTCTTACTGCCACCTGGGAACGCGCCACGTAGCCTCTCTACTAACCGACAGAAGATGATCCTGTAAGGGAGATGCGTGGGCATTTTAACATAACGCATTTAAACATTTACTTTTAGCCCAACACCAAGTGCTCCTGTGCCGTCGCCAGTTCACGAACCACAAACGGATCTATTAGCTTCCGAACATTCTAATTTTAACGTCACTGATCCGACAACCCCAGCTCACCTACCACAAGCGGATCTACTAGCTTCTAAATCTGAACATTCTGATTTTAACGTCGTTGATCCGACAGCCCCAGTTCACCTACAAGCGGATCTATTAGCTTCTGAAAATTCTGATTTTAATGTCATTGATCCGATAACACAAGATGAGACTATGTTCAACGGCACGACTTCAGATATGTTAGCCGAAAAGATGATTATCGAACCATGTGATTCATCACCCACTCATAACCGATCAAATCACACTACACCAGATCATAATGATAAACAAGACTTGACGTCGGCTTCAACGTCACCAGAACCCATGGCCTATGAGATTTTGGACGAATCAGAAAATAACGAAGAAGTTTTAAAAGCCGAATTCGAAACCAAATCATCTTCACCGAATCTATTAATCACGAATGTATTCTACCAACAGCAACCATCATCAGTGCTCGAACGGGAAAGTACAGCACCGTGTGTCAGCCCAGAACCGTCTCAGGCTTCTGCACTCGGTGAAACACAGCATTATAGGTATATTTTCAAACTGGCACTACTAATGTAAGAATGACACGTAACTCTAAAAGCACTTTTAAAGCAGAAATGTCTGTTTCAAAAGGAATCACGGCTGTTTGATAATGTTCTTATAAAATGGTATATTTTCACTTTTATTTTTTTCTTTAAAGACATTTGGCTAGAGTACAAAACGTTCTTCCCGCCTAGTTTTACGTCGGCTACAGCTTAGGGATAACTAGTTTAAGAAGAGAACTTTTACCCAAGTTGAATCAGTCAGTGCTGAAGATCTCTCAGTTAGGTGGAAGAAGTGTATATTTTAAAACTTTATCTTTTATCGCCTTTATAAACAGTTAGATCGTGTATTTTTTATAATTCTGTTTATTGTTCTTTTTTGCTTAGAACGGGCCTAATCAACGAAATTTCAGGCCTGAGATTTCGATTCCATTCATTGACGCTGATAGTATCTCATCATTGGTAGGAGACGATGATCTTCGACGTCTACAATCAATAAAACGACGAGAAATGAGCACACCAGAAGAGAAATCGAATTCGGAAGAAGTCAAAAAGGATTCAGTCGGTAAGAAAAACAAGGCAAGTGGACGGAAAACCAAGCGAAAAAGGCGGACTAAACGGGAGAATCACGTCGCTAATAATCGAATGCCACAAAACTCACCACCACACGAGAAGCAGAACGAACAAACAGTAGGTGCTCAGTCTTGAACTCGAAAACTACAGATATACAAGAACGATACTTGATACTTGGACGGCCCATCCTCATTGGTTTTGCGGGCCCAACATAATCTCCATATTACGGAGATTTGCTGGTTAAGCAATTGTGGTTTCCTGAAATCCTGAGGTCAGCCCGACACCCAGGAACACCTCTCAGCCACGATGAGGCGGTAAACCGTGGGGAGCTACAAGAACTATATGGCTTACCTAGTGCAATTTCCTCGAAACCAAGTAGAGATCAACATGGTATTAGTAGGGAAAAGTGTGCGGTTTTATTTTCACTCAACGATTCCCCTACTCCACCATGTGTGATAGAAGTTTAAACCGAGGAAGATCATGAAATCGTGTCAGACTAAAGTATTTCTTACCTGGTTTTTTTAGAACACTTCAATAATATAAACTTTCTGTCATAGTTTTACTAGCCTGAAAGAATTTATTTGAAATACCCTGTCTTGAAAAACTTTACAATAAGCCAGGACATGCCCATTCGGTTGACATCTTTCATCACTGTAATAAACATGCTAGCGTATTAAGGATGCACGGCACGAGAGCTTCTATTCGAAAGAGATCGGTTCAAGTGGATTTGAATCGGAGACCAGATAGAAACGCTCATGTATTAGCAGCAACAAAACTAATTACTCATGGATAGTGGCACTAAAGCGTGCTCAGGTCGTCACCACAGCCGTGAATATTACTCCTATGAGGGTTTTATATTGCTGCTGATGGCCAGTGGGTAGGTGAAATATCTCAGGTCTTGACCTAACCTTGATGGAAAGGTTAATTGAAGAAATTCCATATCTCTACTATAACAGAAGGACACACGTGACGCAGTAATTAGAGGTGCAGCGTGATACACACGTAATCGTAAGTTCAATTCCGTTCCCAGAATACTACATTGTTTGGGAGGATGAAATCACAGGCTTGATATACCGTTAAGCCTTCGTAAATAGTCGTACAGTACAAATGTGTGCTGAATCACCTCTGCGACACTTAATAATGTGTCTCAGGACACTCTGTCTTTTATTAGACTGATTATACGTTTTGTATATATTTGGCAATATTCATGCATATGCATGTAGCGCAGTGCGAAGGTGTCCTGAAGTAAACACGCAGTCATTGGGTCGATCCCGTGCTCTGGGCTCACCAAGCCTTTCATTGTCGCAAGTTAATGTTTGGGTCCGGTATGCGCTCAACTTCCAACGATTCATGATGGAATCGAATGCATACCCCATCCTTCAGGGATTGACCACCACCGAAAAATTTATCCTTTTATTATTCATGCATAGGTGCGTTCTTATGCTTACGTTGTCGTAGTAGACTGCTTGGCATATCAATTCGGTGAAAGTCTGCAGTCAAGTTACAAGAAGTACAAGGGTTAGGCAATTTGAATTTGCATCGTTCAACAAAGAAATTGCTCTGTTCCTAGAAAACAGCAAAGTTCAGGTGATTATGTTCAGCTCAAACTATGGATTTTTGCAAACTATCAATTCACCTCGTTCGCCGAAACCAGTAAGTACAAAAGGCTAAATTCCATTACTGGAACATTCTCGATACCTTAGTATTACACTAGAAGAATGCAGAGAGGCATTAAGAGTCTCAGATCTTCGCAGCCAATCGGAATCCATAAGGACTTTAGAGACGACTTGTATTTAAAACGCAAAACAATGAAAGAAATAGCAAACGATTTCAATTGGACCACTAAGGGGTAAAAAATGGGTTATTGTCTTATCTCCACCATCAAGTTACGATGTCGATCAGATTGAGAGTTTTTCATGAACTTGGAGAAGTTGTCATGGGAACAGAGAATGAATGACCTTCAACCTTGAACGCAAAAGCTCAGGAACAAAACTATGAAAAAAGAATTTGCGAAGATAACAATTATAGTATTAATTGCTTCAAAATCCGAGAGAACTTCCCCAATGCTTCTCGAACATTCACCAACTACATTACCGTGAAATCACGACCGCTTATTTGGCATTCCTATCCCACTTCATCAAGTGAAACAAAAAAAAAAGAATTATAGAAAGGGTGGGCATGTCGTCCAATGGTCCAACTTTCTAAAAAATGCTAGCTCCTTGGTGAAGAAACGCTTAGTCCGGGTCGGATAAAATGAGATTCGAGCATTTGGGTACTTACTGGATATCAGCACATAGTTCACACGCTTCTAGTCATAATGCAAGGTCCTCAATCGTTGAGTTCTCAACAGTACAGTGCTTAGCACATAAAAGAGGAGCTGTGCAGCATCGGTGAATACCGCCCGACCTGTTGCCTGTCATCTACCCATTCTTTGCTCAAGAACTTACTCGGAAAGGGTGACAGAACATTGGGCGAACGGCAGCAACGCGGTGAGGCACAGTTTTGAAAGCGATTCTGCAAAATGAATCGTATTCACGTGATAACGAAACCTGTTAGTTTAGGCACTGTAAATTTAGCCGTTAAACTACAATGGAACGACCACCTATGGTACCTAGCCTGAGAAGCCAGCATGGAGAAGAAATCCGTTGTGAGACTGATGGGCGAGAATCGCTCGCTCTAGGGTTTTCAGATTTGGTGGACAACAAAGAAGAATGATTACTTACATGGAGACCATTTCTATAATTTGGAGATCACCAAGCGTAGAGGAAAGTTGATAGGTAATATCAATAATATGACACTTGACACTTGAACGGTCTGTCCTCACTGGTTGTGCGTGCCCCAAAATAATCACCATTTATCGGTGATTTGCTGGTTAAGCCATTGTGGTTCCCCGGAATTCCGAGGTCAGCCTCGCCAAAGTTTGGCCCAGGTCTTCACCACCACGGGCACTCGCAGCTTTTGTGGGTCAGAAGGAGATTTGCCACTATGCGACTACTTTGTTACCAAGATAGCGATGGATCCTGGTATTGGTTTCCTCTTCTAGGTTTCCTGATGGAAACGCTGGACTCCTTCTCAGCTTGGGAGACCCTGCCGGGGGAAGAGTGGTGGGGACGAATCCCACCGCTGTACATCGCAGTCCGACACCTAGGAACACCTCCCAGCCACGATGAGGCGGTAAACCGTTGGGAGGATCAATAATATGGGGTTGAGAAAATACAAAGAAGAGATTTGTCTGTCTGTCTCCTATAAATTAATGATGAAAACACCAATGGTAGGAATAATAATAATGATAACAATAATAATAATAATACCCAGGAAAGACTTTCTATTATCCTCGGCATTGAATTATGAATTCGCCGTTTTTTTCTCAGCAATCGCGAAGTTGTCAAACAGCATGCGTTTACTTCCATACAATAACACACATACAACACATTCGTAGCTGGCGGTTAACCATATGGGACTCTGAACGGCTGTTCTTCCTTGGTGGAAGAGAGGTGAAAAAAAGTGGCTCCGAAGAAGGCGATCAGAAACGTTAGCTGCGAATGTATTGTATGTGTGCTATTGTGTGGAAGTAGACGTATGCTGTTTAACAACCTCGCGATTGTTGAGAGAGAAAACGACGAATTTAATAATAATAATCATAATGTTGCTGAGATATTTGCAAAACTCCGGACCACTGGTGTCTGCGGTGTGGACCGAACGCGCTACAACCCTTTCCAGAGGCTAATGCGTTCACCACCTCACCATGCAAGTATTTCGTTTCGTTTTTCTCTCAGCCGTGCTTTTGTTCTAATAATAACAATAATATTAGTAGTAGTGAAATTCAACGATAGGAATGTTGAGATATGAACAAGGCTCGCAACGTCAATTGGACTTTGAACCTGCGATTGTTCTCGTCGAGGGCTCCCTGTTATTCACCACGCCAATCATGGCTCGCGCTTTGCCTTTATAGGCGATAAATGAAAGTTAGGGCATTGTTGCTTCGAATGCAGTGTCAGTTTGACTGGTTTCAATGCCGATTTGTGGTCACCAGATCATTCTCGTTGACGGATGATTGCTGATGTCACCGATAGAGTAAAAATATGGCTGACGGAGAAGCAATTTCAAGCTTTCGGTTAAAGTGTGTACAGCACGTGAATCCTCGATAAGGAACATAGCGCGTTCGAAGCTCAACTGAGGTTCGGAGCTTTGCTCAAATTTCAGCACACTGTAATTGTATTGTACTTTAGTAATATTGATAGTAAGAAAATGGATTTCATATCAGGCACCATGTTCATCATCTACTGCCGCTCCAGATACGGTAGCAGAGATATCAGGTGATACGAAACCACCGTTGATATCCGTGTCCCGAGTAGAAAGCGTGAAAACCGTAGAAGGTGCTGTTGGAAGACTTCTCACAGCTGTTCGCAGTCGATCGAAACGACGGAAAAAATTAAAACAACGAGCGGTGAGTTAGCTTAGGAAAAGATTGGAAGTTACTGAGCTTCACTCTTAAAAACACGGACTTCGCATTGCTTTGGAGCAAGTGAACTTTAAGAACAAGATAAAGAACAGTATAATGTCTCAATTTCCTACACGAGGATCTTCAATATTACTCACCTACTTGGATATTTCGACTGCCCGTCTTCACTGGTTGTGCAGGCTCCAGCGTATTCTCCATTTTTTGAAATTTTGCTTGCTTAGCCATTGTCTTTCCCTGGGGTCCCAAGGTCAGCATGGCCGAAGTCTGTGCAAGATCGTCACTACCACAGGCAATCGTCGCCCTTGTGGATCACAAGGACATTTTCCAACATGAAACTAGTTTGATACAGGCCGGTGGTGAATCTTGGTATTATTTAACTCTTAGTTGGGCTTCCTGATGGAGATGCTGAACTCCTTCTCAACTTGGGAGACCTTGCCGTGTGGATGAAACCCCCCGCTGTACATTCCAGCCCAGCACCCAGAAACACCTCCCAGCTACAGTGAAGCGGTAAAAGCGTTGGGAGGACCTTATGGTTAAATCTTATGCGACAAGATTCAACTCCAACGCAATAAAACTCATCTTATAATACCGTGAATGTCTTGATGACACAGGTCATGCTTCTTGATTGCTTCGTATTTGTTTCAGTACGCATGGTCCTCTAAGTTACCGTAATACGCAAGTGCGATTAATGTTTTGATCAAAGCGGCTTGTTTCATGATATATGACTTTGGTAGTATGAGTAGAGATAACTATATCAAGCAATATCATTACCATACAGTAATCTTATATAGTGTTAGTCTTTCTCAATTGATGAATCCAGAAACAGTCGCTAAACCATCAAGGGATGAATACTTAACTCTCATGATAAGGCTCAATTAGCTGGACCTCTTAGCTGAACCCTGCAGAAAGGACCTTATGTGGAAAACTTTGTGTTCTTCATTTTTGTCCATGAAGATGAGCCCGCTGAGCAACACTGCCATGATGTAAGGATGAATGGTAACTTCCTTAACGATAGTTGATTATTAAAGGCTTTATAGATGAGTAGATAAGCTTCACACGTCGATGATTTAAAAGAAAAAAGCATCAATTAGATTTTCAATACGCTTGCTGCGCCTTCTGTCCCTGAGCAAGTTTGGGAGGTAGGATTCTTCGCGAAAGTGGACTCTAACAAACCCCTAATTAATTAGCACGTTCTACTGTACTTAATGATTACGGAAGCTACTAACTGAACCACTTCAAGGACTTGGATCTAGTGCAAGCCTCCAACGTAATTTTCCATTGTAGTAATGCCGAGACATTTTTTAATAGTGAAAATGCTTCGATCGACACGTTTTCTTGTTGTAGTCGTTTCTGAATTTTGCCTTACTCTCTAGCTTGGTGATTAATGTTGATTTCATCAATAAGACTACAACTGAGTCCGTGCAGACTTTTCGAACACTTCTACAAAGTGTGTTTATATTGTTGAGCATACACGTGGTTGGTAGAGATGTTTATTCGGCTAACGACTCGACGTCTTCGTCTTTCACAGAACCGACGATCCTTGTCGATGGTCCACAATTGTTCCTCTTCTCGATACTCCTAATATACTATTGAACCGAGTCAGACCTAGAGAGTTGAGGGGTAGAGAAACACACGAAACCAATAGTTCAAAATTATGTGGATAGTTCGATCGGAAATGTACAGTATGTGTTGTTATGTGTTATAATCTGCGCTACTGGAAAAGCATATTTTTTAACTACGCCTGTAAATATTTCAGGGTGTATTACAGGCGCTGATTCCACTTAAGAAACGAAAGGTACCAAATTGCGAGTGATTTGATGTCTTTGCCTTGGTTACGGTAATGTGTGTCTGAATGAAGCTTACCAGTCTTTACGCTTCATTAGAAAATCGAATCTTTTCATTTCTTGCAGTTTCACCTCAATAACAAAATAGTGCTCTTTTTCTTTACTGCTGATCGAAACGTTAACGTGTTTGCGTGGTTTTGAATGCTTTCAATATCGTTCTACCGCTTCATAAACAATCGGTAATTCATGTAGAACGAAAATTCCGCCGATATTGATTGATCCGCGGCAATAATCAATAGTATAAACAGCACATTTGTGCGATTATGCGATTTGCATGAGTTGTCGATTGGTTAAATAAAACGTAGGACGTTATGACAAATGATAGCGTTATGGTAACCATTTGTCATTTTCAGCCACCATACAAGTCTCGGTCAGAGAATCGAGCTCGGAAAGCTCTACGGACGATTACGTTTATTCTGGGAGCGTTTATAGTCTTATGGACGCCATTTTACGTACTCGCAACGATTTACGGCTTTTGTGAAAGCTGTAAAAGTTCGCCAGCTTTCAATATGCTCTATTCGATCAGCTATTATCTATGCTATATGAATTCACCGTTAAATCCATTCTGTTATGCGATGGCGAATCAACAATTCAAAAAGACACTTACACGAATATTCAAAGGAGACTTTAAACGGATTTAAGATAAGTAATAGCTTACGATAAGGCTGAGGATCGTCCTCTACTATTTGTAACACAAAACGCCCGAAATGCGACAAAATAGCTCTGTTCAGCAAAGTGAACGACTTCCGAAAGAAATGCATTTCTTGCAATGCACTTTGTCCACTTTGTCCTCCAATGGAAATATTTCATACAGTGCATCTGGGCGTTATGTGTTCATATTACTACTGTTTTTGTTAATCTCTTCCTTTTTCAGTTGATTCGTTCAACAAAACGACACTGTGGACGGGTTCTTTTGGCTCGTTTAGGCTTCATAGTTGTAAACATTCACTTATTAAAAGAAATTAAATCACTGATGATAAAGAGCACCATTCTAAGTTAAATTACAAACGAGTGCTTTCTAATGTGATTAAGAATGCAATAACTTCACGGTTATGTATTACCACTAGCTTATACAATAGCACTAACTTCCCATTATTTGTCGATGTATCTCCAGATAGAACTGTGATACCTTGGTGCTCTAAGCTATTATTTGTGTTTTTTTTTAAAACAAGACTCATACATAAGGACTAGATATTTATTTCATTCGATTGCTTACAGCTATAGAGATAGATATTGAACTTCACCAATACGCAGGGAACTTGTACTGAAGTGGCCCACTCAGAATTATTAGGAGTGGTACCGTAGATAACCTAATGGTCCGTTAATTGCTCTCTTGTTTTTTTACCTAGAAGTTTCTATTGTTTGATCTCTTACTCTGCCACCGTTTATACTTGGTTCAATTTTCAAGTATTCCATCAACCTACTCTGTCGGACTATCGATTCTTGGTTATCCGAGTATAAATACGGTATTGCTTTAAGTGTTTGGACAGTATTGCTTTGCATAACTTAGACTCCTGGCGAGATCGAACCACGATTACCCTTCCGAGGGCTCACATCACTAGCGCCCTTGCTTTACCTTTCTCTCAGTTAGGTAAAAGCTGGCTGAGAGAATGGCGAAGCAAAGGCATTAGTGGTACCGTCCGTAACACATTATCCTCCAGAAAGAGTATAGTGGCGGCCCGATCTGGCCTGTGGTTCGTTTTGCAAATATGTCAGAATTACAGTGATTGTATATCAAAAAAAATTTTTTTAAAATTGATTGTTCACACGACGCTAGGTACTTGGTGAGATTTTAGATTAGGCTATGTTAAGAGTTAAAAGCCTACGATTAAGTCTTCGCGTTAAAAAATGTTAGCTTCATAAATCCACTGATTGCTGATCCATTAAAAAGGATATGGCAGTTCGCAGGATCGACTTTCTCTTAACCTCGGCATTGGAATATGAATGTGTCGTTTTCTTGTTCAGCAATCGCGAGGTTTTTAAACAGCATACATTTACTTCCATAGAAAAACACAATACAATACAACGCTAGCTGACGTTTCGGCAGTATCGCCTTCTTCAGAGCCGCTTTTTCGTGACTTCCAATGAGGAAGTTTAGGACAGCTGATATGGCAGTTTCCAACAGTTCGCAAACTCCGTTGAGAATAATTGTCATCATCACTTATGAATATGTATGTATTTGTAAAGGTGGGAATTTTTTTTTACAATTTATTCAGGAAAACAATCACAATAGATATTTCCAAAACTCAGAACCGCAAGTGTCTTCGGTGGGTAACGAACGCAATATTACCTTCTCCGAGGGCTAACGCGTTCACCCACACGCTACGCGAGTCCTTCGTTTCGCCTGTCTCTCAGCTAGTTTTCTATCGATCACTGTCATTAATAACCACCCGTCAGCGGGATTGATCTGGGAAGCACAAATCGGCATTGAACCCAGTTAAGCTGAGGCCGTAGTCGTAATTTTCTTTTGGCAGGCAGCAGAAAAAATTCTTTGTAGGCATCAAAAAATTATAGTAGGTGGCAAATAAAAGGTTAACATTGTGATTTCGATTATGACCCTAGGTCCTTATCCTGCTGACGGGTGATTGCTGATGGCAACGTTAGCTAGAAGACTAGCTGAGAGGAACGCAAAGCTAGGGCCTTAGTGGTGTATATGGTAATACGCAAACCCCTGGAAATTGTAATCGCGGTTCAATCTGGCCAGTGGTTCAATTTTTGCGAATCGTTGTGGTTGCATTTCACATCATACCATGCTGCGAAAAATTATAGTACGCAGCAAATGAAAGGTTAACAGCATTACTTTGATTATAACAATACGATAATTGCTGTAGTAATAGCACTATCTCAAACCTTTAGGACATTTGCAAACGTATGCGTTGACTTCGACGCATTTTCAACCATATTGATTTTTCTCCAGACAAGCGATTCTTGTCATACCTTACGAGGCATAAAAGGATAAGGTTAAGACTCTTGGAGCCGAGCAATCGCTAAGGAATGCGCCATGCATTCGACTTCATTAAGCATGGGAGATAATTGAATGCATATCTAGTCTTAACAATACTCACGGTGGTCCACGGATATATCAAGCCGGTGCTGCCATCCTCCCATCCTCCCAAACAGGTTTGGTACCAGTTTGTCGACTCTAGGATGGCAGGCTTGGTAAGCATGAGGCACAGTGTCGAGCCCATGACTACTCCAGGGCACCTATAAACACAGCGCTACACTGCTTTTGAGCTATATATAACGCAGTTGCAAAAAATGCTATTAGAGCCAATCTGTTCGTTTCCGTGAGTCCTGCAACGACTCCTTATCTCCTGTGCAGACGAAGCAGCACAGCATGCCATGATGAGAGGATTTAGGTCTCTTGCTATAACCATCGGCAGTCAAGGTGTTTTTTGGTATAAGTTGTATGTATGTGTTTCTAACGATAATACTAACCATAGGTACCATAATTCCTGCCTTATATCTCAACATGTTATAAAAGGACAAATCCATAGCACCAATAAGGAAACAAGTTCTACGAAGTGCTTTCTACAAATGTGAAAACAAGCATCTACTTTTTAACGCTCTCGACGCTAATAGAAATGAACACTACTAGGGTATTCTCTCTCTCACCAACACGCTGCATCTTTTCATATTTCTACGCGATCGCTGTTAACTTTCTGAAACTGAGGCGTTTCCAAGGGTCATTCAAACTTTGCATTGCTTATTGAACTCTTCCCTTTAAGGCGTGATTTCATTCCTTAGATAGTTACTTACTTGGATTGTTGGATGGCCCGCCTTCACTTTTTGTGAGGTCCCCAGCACAATTTCCATTTACTTGGAGTTTTGCTAGTTTAGGCACCAGTTTCCTGGAGTAATGGGGTCGCTGGGCCACCAAAGTCTGCCCCCAGGTCGTCCGTCACCACAACAAACACTTGCCGCCTTTGTGGATTAGAGGGAAATTTGCCACCATGCCACTGGTTTGGTTACCAGGACAGTGGTGGATCCTAGTTTTGGTTTACTCCTAGCTTGACTTCCTGATAAAACCGCCGGTTCTTTTCAGCTTGGGAGGACCCTGCTGGGATGATGAATCCTCCCACTGCAAATCGTAGCCCGACACTCAGGAACATCCCTCTGCCATGAGGTGATAAACCGTTGGGAGACAATACTTGGACAGTAGTTTTAATCCACCAAGCACAGTCATTCGAAAGCTAACCTTGCTCATTATATCAGAGAAGAAATCCAACAGAAATGAAGGAGATGGTAAGGTTATGATAAAAGTAATACGATTTATTCGAAAGTACACCGGGCAATTTTAATTATAGAAAACCAGTCCGGAATCGCTCACTATTTTTCAAATCTTCTTTGGAAGTCATTAAACTTTCAAGAAAATTCCTAATGACCTTTGTATTTTATCACATACATCATCTAGCAATAACATGACAAAAAGGACCAAGCTCTCTGCATTGATCTATCCCTGAGAGATGCGCCATGCATTCGACTTTATTAAGCACCGTTGGAGGTGACTGAATGCATATCTGATCCTTACAATAACTCGCGGTCGGCTACTGATACATCGAGCAAGTTCTGCTATCCTCCTAGACAAGTCTGATACCAATTTCGCGGCCCCGAAGGGATGGAAAGCTTGGTGAGCCTAGTGCGCAGAGATCGATCCCATGTGTATTGCAGGGTGCCTCTGACCACTGCGCTACACGCGCCCCTAACAATAAGCAATAACACGAAGCTAGAAAAAATTTAACACGAAACCTTTCATTATAATTCAGTCGAACATACAACACGTAATAATAATCAAGATCTAGAGGTAACGATAAGATTGTGGTTGTGGATTTCTATCATTTTCGAATAGGTTTGCTGAAAAAACAAATATTAGCTGTTCTTCAAATGTCTCTCACCTTTAAGTAAAAACCAAACCATATTTTGAGTACCTCTTTCTATTATTAAGCAAAAAAAGGAAGAAAAGCAAAAAATAAGGAAAAAAAACATAAACTGAATATTCTAGGAACTGAAGGAACCTGACAAAAAGAATATTTAACTACCTATAAAATTAGATATCTTTTGGACCAACTTTTCTGTAGGAAAGATTTACACAGTTGTAATAAACTGTTAAGAGCTCTGATTCCAAACAATCATAGAAATCTTCTAGAAGACCGGTAATAAATATTAACAACGACATGACAATAGTTTGTCCAACGATAACCTTTCTTTCCTTCTATCCTTCTTCTCATCACGACGATCTTTTTCTTTCGTGGGTGACACACCTCTCCGTTCATACGATACAGTTCGTGACACTAGAAAGCTTTTTATTAACATAAATGACGAAGGCAAAATTAAATAGGGACAAAACTGACATCTTGACTCGATCTGTTCACGGTCCTTCCGAGCAATTTTGGAATGTCTAAAAAAATTAGTAAACTTATGAAAAACATCATCCATTTGCAAAAAAGTCCAATGGTCATAAAATCACATTTCTACTTCTTAAAATCTGAAATAAATCCAGAAAAACTTACCCATTCGCCTCGTCATCCCGTGCTGATCGCTTATGTGTTTGTTCACGTTTCCTATCATCCACACGTTCTTCTCTCATTGAAGGAGGAAGCTGTAATTGTAAACAGTAATACGAAACAATCTAGCTAGTAGAAGTGAATCTAAGCTGGACAGTGTCTTCTTGATAATAGTTCAAAATTAACACTATACTTACTGCTGGACCAACTTCCTCATCGTCAAGTCCTCGCTCTTTCTTTCTAGAAGTGTTTGATTCCTTGACCACATCTTCTTTTCTTGATGGCGTTGAATCTCTTTTATCTTTCACTTTCTTGTCATCCTCCCGCTTCTCCTTTGAATCTCTATGCTCTTTTTTCTCCTCTTTGACGTCCTTGGTGACAACTACGTCTTTCCGTTCCTTCACTAATCCATTTGCTGCTTTATCATCTAGCTGGGGACGTGCCTACAAACACTGATTAGAGGCGAAAAAACTTGCGATTTAAAAGAAAACACTAGTGGAAACAAACGAACCATCTTTTTATGCGGTGGGCTCGGAGGGACCTCTCCTTCTTCACGCTCAGTAGTATCTTTCTTTACTTCTTTCTGTTGTGTCAATTCCTCCTTCTTTTCTCGCTTTTCAACTTTCGGTAACTCTTTTCTCTCTGGTTCCTTTCGTTCTACAATTTTTGGTTTCTCTACTTTTGCTTTTTTCCTGGTATCAACAGTGAGAACAACCTGAAAGAACACTGGAAATGGCGTCGAATATTCATGAATAAGCCTTCCATACTTCTGAATCATTTCCTTTAGACAAAACAGTGAAGAACGAGAGCTCTATCTATCGACAAAAAGCAATAAAATGAAAATGTTGCTATACCGTACGTTAGAGACTCGTTTCCGATCAACAGTCGCATCCAATTTCGCCGCTTGCTTGACTATAGGCCTCTGGAAATAGTTAGGGAAACGTCAAAACAAGTGAGCTCGGAAGAACGTAAATGTCATAGAGTGGCTATGGTTCATAATACCAGCACATTTTTCTAGGTTTTTTCGATTTACAAAGTAAACCAAAGAAAAAAAGAAACTCACATGGAATTGAAGTCCTTCATAGATAGGAACATTTCTCATTTTCAATCGCACAAGATAACTGGCAGCCTTCAAAGACAGTTCGTCCCTTTTTCCTTTTTCGTTATCTCGCACCTAAATGCAAGTACATCTATATTATACATGCATAAACGACGAAAAGCAAAGCAAACATACCTTTTCTACTAGCTTCTCAACGCTGTCGACTAAGTCCTTCAATAATGGGAAACACGGTGCAAGCTGAAATCAAGTATCCAAGAAGTAGTTAAATTTCAGGAATTTCACTATAGAAGTGATTTCATATACAATAATAAGAACTAGTTTGGAGAAAGACCTGAGAAGAAGCCTAATTCACCTTAGTCATCACCACTAAACAATTCCTAACTGATACATATTCATTATTTACCACGGAAAGCACCGAGTTGAATGCTGTATGCAGACGCATCTGAAAAACGGCATTCGTTAGAGAATTCAAGCCAGTAATAATGAGTAGTACGATAGAAACATATAGAATAGGAACATTCTTACTTGCCACTTAAAGCAGAGGCGTCGGAAACTCTCGTAATTGACACTTTCTGTAGTCTTGTCTTGACGCGTTTTCGAGACTAATCCAGGGAATCCTTCACACTCCTAGAATGACCACCTCAAAGAGATTCTTTTTGTGCCAACCTAAAACCTATGAATGCTCTACGACTGCTGCGTGAAAAACTCGAAAAAACGAAATACAGAAGCAATGGGAATTGCGCTGTAAACGGCTTCAGCTACTCCTGAAGATGGTTCATCCAAGAACCGAAGTAGAAGTTAATTGTACTATATGTGAAGTTAACAAGTATTGTTAACATTTGCTAACTTCCATGAAGTCTGAGCGCAAATAGTCCTACCTTTTCGAAGATTGAGCTATCTGAGTGCCATCGCTGCGCATGAGAAAGTAGAATCTGTAGAAATGTGCCAATCGAGTTCGCCTCATTTTCAGTCAGAGCACAAATTAACGGCAACACATCAATAAACAACTGGAAAACCCGTGTGAGTGTAAAATTGGAGCTAAAGCAGAAAAATTATCCAACAAGAATAATATATCAATTATAAAAAATGTTATAATATGGTATATATACGTAGAGAGAACAACATAACTCATACCTTGTCAATAAATACTAATGACTGGAACAGAGTAATTCGTTGCTGGTGTAAAATAATTATCAATCTAGCAGAATAGATCTAAAATATAGCTAAAGTATCCACACTATAATATAACTATGACTGGTAAAAAGAGAATAACTCACTGCATCATATTCTGAGAACAAAACGCGGGGTAATATACATGTTTGTATAAAGGCGCTAGTTTGTTGACCACCTAGAAATAAATTAACAACTAACTAGCAAATAAATTTATCCTACACTATAAAAGGATAAAGGATAAAGCTCTAGGCGCTGATTAACAGAAGAGGGATACGTCATGCATTCGATTTCAGTAAGCATCGATGAAGGCGAATGTATTCATATCTGGCCTTTACAACGACTAGCAGTGGCCTATCAATGACTTGAATCGATGCTGCTATTCTACCAGACAAGTCTGGTACTAATTTGTCAACACCAGAAGGATGGAAGGCTTGGTGAGCTTGGGGTGATCAGATCGATCCCATGTGTATTGCAGCGCGTCACCGACCACTGCGTTACATGCGCCTCTGCTGCACTATAACGTAATATAATTCCATCATTAGAGTGTTATGGCATAACGAATAGCGAGTTCTTCCTTCTTTTCAGAAATTATAATCGTTTCATAGCCACAATAACTAACATACTCTAACTCAAAAGACAGACTTTCTATAAAATTCGGAATAGATGGTTGATATATCTATTTATATGATCTTATAAACTGATATTCTTTAGCTGATGCGAGGTTGGTATGGGCCTTCGTTGGAACTCCCACTCGTAATATCACGACTCTGAGGAAGGCGAAATCGCCGAAACGTCAGCCATCAACCAACAAGAACACAACGACAACAACGACAACGACGACCTATACCGACCTCGCATCAGTTAAAGAAGATCAGTTTGTAACATCATATAAATCAATATAACATATTCTAGGTAAGAAGTAAAGAGAAAAGCTCACGTCCACCCTCGAACAGATCGTCCTTAACACTATTAAACCATGCCCGAATTCTCGATACATGTTCTGCCTGACGCTTCTCTTCCTCTCTTAGCTTATTCTCCAAACTCCGTAGCCTTTCCTCCTCTTTTACTCGTTTAGACTTACTCTTAAAAAAACAGTACATCCACTAAGTTTTAGTATGCTAGAAGACTATCTCTTCAAATAAAATAAAATTTTGCACGACAAGACCAATAGAACTCCACTGACTCTCAAGAAATGTTGTTCAAAAATACTGTACAAGACTCATGTTGCCGACTATTAAATCACTCAGATATATAAAGTTACCAATAGGCACAATGTTTTCGGGTACTACAACTGTGCACCAGAAAAGAAAAAATCTCGAAACAGCTTACCGTGACTGGTGAATCCGCAACTTCCTTCATTTGACGGCGGATGTTCTCAACAGCTCTTTCATATGCCATCGTAGGCACTTCGATATCATAGGAAGACAAAATCCAGAACACAACGAGTAATCTGAATCCCGTCTATTTCTACTACAAGCTTCTCAAAGAAATTTTACTCAGTGAAATGGAAGTACTTCTCACTGCTAAGTTCGTTATAACATAACTTTCAACAAAGAAACTGAATCCATTCACTTACCGTACAGGAATATCACGACAGACATGCTTTGGAATGCAAGGTTCGAGTTGCTTCACCAGTTTTGCGACGATATCATCGAAAGCCGATTTGAAGAAAACAAACTATAAAAGAAAAAAACTTTGACAGTAGTTTTCAAACAGTTTCCTAAGCACCCATAAGAACAAAGTACTTGAATGACAAAAAGAAAAATGCATTGCAAACGAAGATGCCTTAAACAGAACGGTATCTATAGAAAAAAGAAACATGAAAAAACAAAGCAACTAGAAAATCTAATTCTACAAAATCGCCTACTTTTTGCTGGGCATCCATCTTCTTGTTATCGATATCCGATTTCATTGCTCGTTTTGCAGCCTCGTAGGCAGCATTAATCTAAACCACATCTTCACGTAATGAATTACCTAATTCGCGTAACACGTGTCTACACTGACTCTTAAAAAATTCATGAAATAGTGTCCAAATTTCTCGGAATTGCACAGTTTTACTTGATACTTGAATGGCCCACCCACACTAGTTGTGTGGGCTCCAGCAAAAACTCCACATTTTCGGAGTTTTGCTGGCTTGGCCATTGTGGTTCTCTGGAGTCCCGAGGTCAGTCTAGCCTAACGTCGTCACCACTACAGACCGCGCTTGTGGATCATAGGCAGATTTGCCACCATGTGGCTAGTCCGATACCACCACGGTTATGGATCCCAGTATTCGTTTACTCTTAGCTTTGAGATGGAAACATCGGCTTCCTTCGTCGCTCAGGAGTCGCTGCTGGGTTGACGAATCTACTCGCTGAACATCGAAGACCGTCAGCTAGGAACACCTTCCAGCCACGATGAGGTGGTAAACCGTTAGGAGGAATCCCTTGTAATATTGAACAAATTTGAGAAACGTCCCAAAATTTCTTATTCAACAAGGTACCTACGTTTAAGCTAAAATCTAACCGACTTCCTTTTATCCTTGGCATTGATTAATAATCCATTTTTTTCTTGATGGGCAAACACAAGGTTGTTATTACAGTATTCATCCAATCATAACAGCTGTTGCTTCGGCTGTTTCGCTTTCTTTAGATTCCAGGTTATGAACGTGCTTGCATGCATAGATTGCGTGTCAATTTTAGGCTCTGAAGGCGAAACATCCTGAACGATAGCTATCGGAAACGAATACATACTATGATAAAAACCTCGGCTTTGATCATCAAGAAAACAGTGAATTATGAATCCTTTCCACTGAATAAGTCATCACAGAGTTTTAGCCCAAAAATGGAAACGACTTGCTTTGAGGAAGTAGGTGGGTCTAGTGAGGTACATAGCTGCATCAATACGAAGATGATAATCTAAAATTAGTGTATGTGCTGGGGGTATCCGCATGGCGTAGTCATCTTGCCGAACATTCGCCCATAGGAAGGTGCCCAATTGAAGTAGCGTATCACGACACTGCAATGAAATACTACTCTGTTATTGAAATAGTACTAAAAAATGCAACAATATGTTGACCAAAATAGAAGAAGTTGAAATGGTAAGTGAACGATCCTACTTTGAATAGTTGGCGACTTGATTGATCGATCGATCAAAAACGGTAATAACCAACGTCTTCGATCGAGCAGAATACAGGAAAGCCACTAACCTGATCAACCATCTCGCCAACTAACTTCAGCGGTAAACGAGAACTTTCTCGATAAACCACACATTCTCTTTGTTGAGCTATCAGTATACATAATCCAATGGCAATATCACCAGTCATCACGGCATCACGCAAACGAGCAGATGCGCGTTTATTTCTTGCATTTGTGTAGCTTCCAGCCTAGAATACTGGTCAATTGAAACTCGATTCATCAATCTTAAACAGGACCACACAGAAGCCAAACAAACTTACTTCTTGTCTCAACAGCTCACCACCTCCCAAAGCCTCCAACTGATCAGAGGTTGCCCCAGCTACACCTTCAATACACGCCATATTCTGGACCACCTCACGAAGCACAAGTAAATCGAAGCTAAAAATGCTGAATGCAAATTACAAACTAAAATTTCCATATGGATCAGAAATTAGATGACACGAAGAAAACAGTGTTCACTCAATGTTCAAACCTCTTCTCATTCTTCAGCTGATTTATAACGTAATTCAACATCCCAGCTAATTCCACATTATACTTCTTGTAGACAGCTCCCACCTGACCAAGTAATAGACTTTAATTGACTCGATAAACAGAACATCACGATAACTACAGCATGTAGATCTAATATAAGTTCAAACCAAGGTTGCTAACGCCTGCAGCCATGGGCTTAGTTTTCCATCGGAAGCTTTTAGTTGCTGCTTTTCAGGACTAGAAAGCTGCTCTATTATGCAATCTGAAAGGAATACGAATTCGAATAATTAGAAGATTTAGTACACCGAATTATAAGGAAATACCATAAGTTGACAACGTTGACAACAAAGGTAAAAATAAAAAAGGATAAAGCTCTCGGCGTTGATCAATCCCTGAGATACGCACCATGTATTCGAGTTCATTAAGCATCGTTTGGAGGTGATTGAATGCATACCTGGCCTTTACAATGACTCTACCTACCGATAGCCTACCATATGTGGCCTGCCGATGTATCGAGTCCGTGCTATTATCCTCCGAGACACGTCTGGTACCAATTTGCCGACCCCGGAGAGATGGAAGGCTTGGTGGGCCATGGGCGCAGGGATCAATTTCATGTGTATTGCAGGGTGCCTCCGATCACTCCGCTACACGCCCCCTTTGATGATAAAGATACGAAGAATTATTATCCGCAGTGTTATAAAGAGAACGAAACTATAAAGTCAGCTCCTATTCCTAAGACAACTTACATGTTAAAATATCGAACTCCAAATTTGTAAGAAACCGCAGGCTTTCGACAACTGGTTGTATCAAATTGTCAAAAGACTGGACCTGAAATATTTGACACCTCTAAATTGGTATTAAACATAGACAAAGCAAATAACATGACGGAATTGCTTCACAACTGCAAAACAAAACCAAACCTGGCTAAGCAGGTAATCGAATACGGTAACTGGATGTATATGACACAGCTTTCCCAGCTGTCTTCCCATTACTCGCACAGTTTCTTTCGACAAGCGCCTAAGATTTAAAGATATTTATACAGGATTGTGTCTTAACGAGAAGCAAATATTGGAAATAAAACATGACGACTAACTTCAGAACATATTTCGTCCTGCCTAACACTTTCCCGCGCATTATATTAACCTCCGGATGCCGCACCGTATTACCAAACTTCCAACTATAAAAAAGGCTGTAATGTTCGATAGAGAGTAAATATTACCAAAACTAGACCAAATCAGATTAAAATTCTACAGTGTTATGCAAACAAAGTGCGAGACCTCTTACGATACATTTTAGACGGATTGGTAAAACTTACTGTCCATATAAGCGGTATCGCCATGTATACGGAAATATCTGCAGCAAGGTCCATACTTCTTCCGAAAGACCAGTATTGCAATCGGATAACGACAATCCGGGTAGAATAACCTCGTCGACTATGTCCATCATCGTTCGTGAAACTAGAAGTCCTTTCAATGTTGTTTACAACTCCCAAGGTTTTGCTGCGCAACTTTGAAGTCGTCAAATCACAATGTGAGCATAAAACCGGTAAGGTAGGTACTTGGTGAGTCCAAAGGAGTGCCATCAGCTGCTTTCGGTTGTTCACGGTAGAACATTGTAATCAGTCGCACAAGTTTCGTCATTATCAGTGGGCGGTAGGCCAGTCTTGGACCAACATACCATAGCATTGAAGTCAGCGCAGCCAAATCATCCCACGAGGAAACCTTCAACACATTGCTATGAATTGGTTATTTTCATTAAAATGAATGGCTTCGTAACAAAAAAAAATTCTATCTTACACAATCTACAAATGCAGGACGAGTTTCGACTTTTACATCCACATTAAGGTCTTCCAACTTGTTAGAACATTTTTTAATATAGAAATTCTGTATCGTCCTACCAATTAAATCGGAAATCGCATTGCTCACGCGTGTACTAAACAAGAAATAGTCAACGAAAAGCAATGAAATTCAATGTAAAAAGAGCTGTCAGATTCCTTTCACTACATTAATCTTCAGTATTAACTAAAGTCACACCTTGCTTGTACTGCGTAGTACTCAGGAAGTCGGTCAATGAGCGTTTTCGCTAACGGCCATGCACCATCTTCAATGAGAGCACACACCAACCCAAGTTTCTGGTTTGTTGATAAAACGGTCTCCTGAAAAGAAAAGTTGAACACTTACAGCTGGATTATGGCAAGGTTTAACACTACAAATACGCTCTGATAAACATATTCATGTGCAACCTTTCACCATAATATTTTTAGAATTGATTTTAAAAAAGGTGGAAAAAGAGCAGAGATAGCCTTTACATAAAAACACCTCGTTCAATTCCGCTGCAAGTTTTGCATCGTCTGCCTCTTGTATAGCAGCAACCGTCGCCAATGATACTCCCACGATCGACTGGCCATTATCCATTGCATCCACATTCGCATTGCGAGAAACATCTAGTGGTATATTTGATGCCAAAATGGTTTCCGCCTAAGAAGAAGAAAAAATCTTTTTTCTCTCATTTATTTACCATTCGGTTACACAGCAACATATTCCACACCTTTACGAAAAAGTCAGATATGACTTTATAATTACTGCAACTACATTACTAGTATGCTGTTCCATTAACACATACACGGACAACGTTGATTTCCCAGGACAAATTTTCATAAAATAGAAAACTTATTGAACTAAGAACATGACAGTTTTATGGAAAAAACTTTGGTTTATCCTTCTGAAGGTACGATGTTGCTACATATGCCATAGTATGCTGTACTCCTCTCAATGGTTTACCGTCTTATCGTAGTCAGGTGTTCCTGGGTGTTGAGCTACGATGTATAGCCGAGAGCTTCATACTCCCAAGCCGAAGAACCCGATGTCTCAAACAGAAAGCCCAGCTAAGAGCAATCCAATACTAGGAATCACCATCGTCCTGGTATCAAACTAGTTGTGTGGTGACAAATATACCTCAAATCCGCAAGGACGGTGATTGCCTGTGGCGGTGACGACAGTGGGCAGATTTTGACTAAGGTGTCTTCGGTACCCCAAGGAATCACAAAGACCAAACCAGGAAATCTCCGGAGAATGGAAAATATGCTGAGGCCCACAAAACCAACGAGGACGAGTTATCCAAATATCCAAGTATCCCACAATATTTCACCTGCCAAAGACATCACTGTAAGAATTTGAAGAGGGATTTTGCTACTTGTGCTAAATGTATTTCTGTATTTCTCGTAGCCAATTATTCCACACAGTAAGCATAACCTGTCATTACGATTGGAAATGAAAAACATTCAAATTTGTGATCAAAAAATTGAATCTTACATACCCTACACGAGCAATCAACACTTTCTTGATAACAATGATAACTTTTGGCGACTAGACTGATCACGAAGTTTATAACCCGATTAACTTTCAAAAAAGACTTCGTTCTATCACTCTATGTAAGAGTAGTGATTTCTTTATGGCGTAACATTTCGAATTCATCTAAGGCTAAAGCTTCCATAAAAAAATCTTTTTTTCACCGCGTAGAAAAAAGAAGACTCGTATCTTCTTGGCAAAGATCTCTAGATACCGACAGTTTTAATTTCAATTTATAAAGTTCAATGGAGGATTAGATATGCTAGTTGAAAAGTATAGCTACTTTGGAATATGTACGGATTAGAAAGAAGACTGCTTAATAGGTGCAAGAATTGACAACGACGATGAGATTTGTTGATGGTTGTTGAGATCTTCTCCAATTTTTCCCAAAGAAATACGAAGCACCTTGTTCCATTATTAATGAGGAATGTCTAAAAAATTAGAAGGGTGTACAAGTTTCTTCTTCATTAAGCAATCGTTGTTCCATAGTTTTTTCATTAGCAAACTTCTTTGGGTTTTCTTTCGACCCTCCTCACTCACTTCTATGTTGGTGCCATCAACTTTACCTATTTGTAATGAAATGTTTTGTTTAACGTCTTGAAATAATTTTCGTGGTCAAGAATTCAACTTTGTGGCCCTAAGCCATCGCAGTTACCGTCTTCAAGTTCGGTCTCGATCCACTTCTCATTGATGGCGATAACAAAGAAAATGGTGATGCCAGGATTGGAGCATGGAACTAAGAGGTCTTTCTACGAATTATGATTGACATTTGGGAACTGGTTGTGAACGAAACGAATAGATATGTTCTACAGAAGAATGTTTTGTAGAAAGCAACAAGAGTTACGAGACAAAAAGCTTTGGGTTTTCCACTTAACAGGGCATTCTTAAAATTACATATTTGTGAATTTATTGGAGACTGGATTCTGCTTTTGCACCCCATCGTTACGCTGCTCTGTTATAACGACGAAGAAATTTGAAAGTCTCTTCACAAAACTCCGATTTGTAAACTACACATGGTGCATATGACAAGAACGGTTGCACAAGATGCAGCCCCTAATCTACCTTATTAACATGAACTGCTGCACAATGTACAGGTCTGGAAAGTATGTATGTATTGACAAATAGATCGCACCGTTCAAAGACAGAATAGTTTTCCGCCTTCTTAAGAGCTTCTCACATGAAGATAAAGCCATCTTCTTTGAAGTTGTAGAAAAAATAGAAAAGAACTTCTCAAACATGTCATCCACTGGCCATTGAATAGTGGACAGTTCACAGCAATAGAACAGGAGGTACATAACGGTCTCGAAGCGAAAGATAAGAAGCACATTACTTGCTCAGGATATTTCAAGAGACGCAGTACAACGTGTATATTTATGGTAGTACCTTCTGGTGTTAGGACTGCTTATTAGAGACAAGCATACTAAGGTTTAAATGGGCCTGTAACATTTTGGTACGGAAAATGATCTCTGGAATACCCTCGCTGATTCTGATTTCAGGCAAGAACTATAGGATGTTATTATTCCCGTTGTCACTACTATCACGTTATATGATAGGATATACGTACATGTATATACATATATATATATTTGTACATATATTGTAAATTTCAAGCCGCAAGTTGTAAAATAAGTGTGAAGTAAGAACGTGGTATGACCTAACAGATCCTTGCAAACACAAATTGCGTTTGATCCCGTTAATGACTCCCTAAACACCCTGTGACCACCAAACCACTTCAAAAAGTTCTCCTCGACGATCTTATCATCATCTCATCACAGCTGAAAGCTTTCTCTAACTGTTTAATCCCACTGTTCGCTCGGAGACGTTTCTGCTGCTTTTCAGTGACCGCATTATCAATGTCGCACATCCTCTTCAACAGCAGTACGTCTCTCGCCGCAAAATGATCTCGTCAACGGTTCTTCTTTGTAAATCATTAATTATGGAGAATTACTTTTCATGAGCCAGTCCTGATATCGGATGTAGGACTTACATTCTATCCAAAGATCACAAAAACTGCAGGAAAAAATATCTGTAAACCACAGAAGTGGCGCACCACAAAGTAGTACCACGCAGTTGTGTATACAGTAATACTGTCACTATCACAAATCTATCGTTTTCTTTCTCAGCAATCGCGAGGTTGTTAAACAACATACGTTTACTTCCATACAATAACACACATACAACACAACCGTAGCTCACGTTTCGGGAGAATCGCCTTCTTCAGAGCCTGGAAGGGTACACTAATACGTAACTTGGTAAAAAAATCCTACAGTGAATGGCAGAGAGGAATGTCAGGAGACCACACGTCATCTCACCCCTTACCTTCGTATCGATCGTTGATGTCGGGTGCTGCAGTCGTCAACCATATGCGACTCAGAGCAGCTGTTCCTCCTCGGTGGAAGGCAGGTGAAAAAAAGCGGTGGGTTTTTCGAGAAGCCGTTGATCTTGTAATTATCGTTCAGATTTTAATCTTTCTGTTTGTGCTGTTGAAGCGTCTGACCTAGTAAGTTGCCTATTAATGCACCCTTCCAGGCTCTGAAGGCGATTCTGCCGAGATGTCAGCTACGGTTGTGTTGTATGTTATTGTGTGGAAGTAAACTTATGCTGTCTAACAACCTCGCGATTGCTGAGAGAGAAAACGACAGATTTATAATCCAATGCCGAGGTTAATATAAAGTTGATCTTGGAAACTGTCACTATTACCTTAATAGAACTGAAAGACAAACAACAGGTGTTGCTCGCTAACCAATACAAGAAACACTGGCATATTTTTGTGATAAAAAAGTAGAAGAAATGGTCCTACCTTTCTTGCTCTCTCACCAGCTTTCGCAGCACGTGCCCTGTGTGTCTCCTTTATACCTTCAGCTTTCGGGATCATCTAAATTGCGTTTCAAAACAGCAGGTTATATACAATCCAGGTTATATATATATGTATATATGTATGTATATATGTGTATATATATATAAAATAGTGCAAACGGATGCGAAAGACAAACTTACAAATCCAGTAATTTTCATTAAATCGATCATATCTTCTTGTATCAACGATGATGTAATTATGTAGAGCGAAAATGGCGTTTCTTTCCCAGCAGCCTGAAAACAGAAAAAAAAACCTTTAAAAATATTTGTAGATGACAACTTGTCTCAACGACTACCATATTTCAACTATCGGACTAAAACGAGTTTTTCGAAGAAGAAAACAAACTGTCATACACAGCTAAATGAGCAGAATTAGCAATAGTTTTAAGTTAAAGTTTCTAACCCCAATTATTCAAAAAATGAGGCATTAGACCATCACAGAACAACTACGCTAGAGAATTGTCCCTCAAACATTGTTGTTTTTGAGATAAATAAGCTCACCCTAATTAAAAGGACATACTGAATACCAATTACAAGTTTAATTAGAGGTCTTCGTTGAGGAATTTCTCAGTTTTCTGGTGCACTGTTCAGGTAATAAATAAAAGTAAGAATCACCTGCCTGAAGACGTAAGCACACCTACGGAACAAACAAAAGAAAAACACAATAGAATAAGAATAGAAAACAGGAAATCATCTGACAAACAGGCGAAACGTATAACCCGCATGGTGCGGTGGTGAACGCATTACTCCCCGGAAAGGGAAATAGCGCGTTTGTTCCTCACCGCAAACATCCGTGCGGTCCGGAATTTTGCAAGTAGCTCAGCATCATTACAGTTAAAAGCATAGTGATAATAACTAACATGAAAAACGAATACTTACATGATAAAATGTGTACTTAAATCCGAGCAGTGTGCATAAATAATCCTTATTTGCTTTAATTTCTTTTAGTAGCGATATATAGAAAGTCTTCTGAGATGCACAACATTCAAAACATTCGAGTACTATGTCGGTCACTCGATTCGGATCCAAGTTGAATTGACCTGAAAGCTTTTGACGAAGCATCACATCATCATGATGTCTTTATTACTGGCCATACCCGCCGGTCCAGTTAAACTTAACTAGGTTACCCAAGCGTCACACAAGGGCTAAAGTTCTTCGAAATTCAAAATTTCGAACGACTGTAAGTAGCACGATAGTTCAACAAAGAAGAAGAAAACTACGAGATGCTACTAGATGAACCGAGATGACAAGAAATTTCTTGATCAACCGCATTGAGCACCGTACCATGCATTAAATAATGCTTCTGAACTAACCAATAAGGCATAGTACTCGTGTCATCATTGTCTTAGGTGGGAGACCTCCACCACCATCCATGAGCTCTGTGATCAGTTTTGAATAACCTTCACTTTCCTCTCGTAATAGATTATATTTCGCCTGTTTATAGCTGAAAAATAGTAACAAATTGCAAAATTTGATAGCAAGTATTATTTTCAACCATAGTATAAGTGAAACGTCACTAAATTCAGTAACTTGCTACTTCCAAATTGTGGTCTAGCTCAAATTTTTAAAGACGTAAACATTGTCACAAACTTGGTTAGTCTGGCAGTGATTGGACCAAAAACCTTGTGTATTTTGGAAGAAACCTCTAACCACTGCACTACGTGTACTCAAAAAATTTTTGATTTAGTGGTTAGAGATGTCTTCCAAGTCACACAACGCCTTTGGTTCCATTGCCGTCGGCCTAACCAAGTTTTCCATCCGTTGGGTGTTAGCAAATTGTCATCAAACTTACCTAGAAGGGTAAAACACACGGACTTGATACTTCTGCCGGCCCTCCTGAGTTATCAGATATTGTCACAAACTCTTTCCTTTTAATACGAAATGCTTTTATAATATTAACTTTTGGACCATTTAGCGCTTATATTACCTTTACCAGAAAAAGATTGGAGATTAAAAAGTGAGGATCCATGTTAATACATGGGATGACGTGAAGGTAGTGGATACACGAATATTAGCCTCAAAACTAGGATTTCCAATAGTGATGGAGGATAGAAAATTAATGCTTAAGGACTTGAAAACAACATACTACAAACGAGTTTTAAGGCGGACAAGCTGCTGTTTGTTAGCTGGAAGAGAAGCTTCTAAGACATCCAGTTCGATACGTAAAATATCTGCCGCAATTATCTGAAAGACGACGAGTAGTTCTATTCCTTCCGCTGCAAGATTAAAGCCTTAAACCTATAGAACACTAAATATTAGATCTTTAGACTTAGAAAGAAATCCTTTTAAACATTTCCAAACCAACATTTTCCAAGAAGAAACGGTTAAACCAATAAAAAATGGCCAACTTGGAAACATGGATGGCCCGACTTCAATGGCTGTGCGATCCCCAGTACAAACTCCATTTTTCGGAGCTTTGCTGGTTTAGCCATTGTGGTTCCCTGGAATCCCGAGAACAGCCTGGCAAGTCTGCCTAGGTCATCACCACAGGCAATCGCCGCCCTTGTGGATCAGAGGGAGATTTGCCACCACGCGCCTAGTTCGATACCAAGATGGTGGTGGATCTCTGTATTGGTTTACTCTCAGCTAACCTTCCTGATGGAAACGCTTAACTCCTCAGCTTGGGAGACTGCCGGGAGAGGAGTCCGCCCGCTGTACATCGCAGTCTGTAACCCTGGAACACCTCCCAGCCACTATGAGGCGGTAAACCGTTAGGCGATAACCAACTTTTATGTGGCAATGAACATTGTAGTCATGCATACTTAAGTAAAAATAAAACGAACATAAAAAGTACCTTATCTGAGATCAAACTGACGAATTCAGTAAACTTTGGAACAACCGCCTCTTTATTATCACTCGAATGAGCGTCACCTTCTACTATCACCAAAACATCTAGTAATAACGACGGTAATAAGGAACATGACGACTGAAAAGAATGAGTGATATGATACGGAACTCAAGCATTTAAGATAAAAAAAAGGATAAAGCTCTCGGCGTTGATCAATCCTTGAGGGATGTGCCATGCATTCGACTTCATCAAGTATCGGTGGAGGTGACTCAATGCATATCTGGCCTTTATAATGGACCTGTGGTGGCATATCGATGTATCTAGCCAGTGCTGCTATCCTCCCAGACAGGCCCGGTACCAATTTGCCGATCCCGGCGAGATCGAAGGCTTGGTGGGCCATGGGCGCTGGAATCGAGTCCACTTGTGTGCCGCAGTGGCGCCTCCAACAACAGATATGAAAAGAAGAAGAAAAGAAAAAGAAAGAAAAGAAATCTTACCTGTAACTCTTGTAACTTTGAGAACGCGTCTTCTGGGGCAAGATCCAATGAAATTACTTTCCGACATAGATCAAGTAAAACTATTTGAATGTCATTTCCATTAACTTCAGACATATCAGCATATACAAGGTATAAGAAACACTAAACAGAAGCAAAGAAGGATAAAGCCATATTGAGAAGTAGGGACAACGTCGACAGACCGAAATTCTCGATGAAAACTCATGGATTCCTAGCTTAATGTGGTCTGAGTACTACAAAAAGTAAACAGCTATGACTAGAGTTACAGCCTGCTCATAGAGGACGAAGTACATTTGAAGCTTTAACTTCAGTTCATTACTTGAAAGTCTGGAATGACCCACTTCCTAAATGCGAAATCGCATATATTCCAAATGTTGTTTTTCGGAATTCATGACTGAATGGGTTCCCTTGGAAATGTCTGCATACTGTAGTTTACGGAGTGCAAGCCTTGGATTCCTTTACTTATTTTAACCTTCACCGACCTAGATAAAGCTATGATTCCAATGTAATTACAGACTTCTAAACAGTTAGAAACGAATTGTTCTTGTCTAAACGGCTTTAAAACTCCCTGCCTTTCCATAAAGATAATGACAGCATGTAAATATTATAAATGAACACGTATAAGGAATAGAAAACGAACCGGCTCTAAATCGCTTGATTTGAGATATCGGCGAAATTTCTTGGAGGTTGTGTGCAAGCAGACCTGTAAATCTATTCCACGCAAATTTGCAGAATAGGTTAAGTCTGCGTTCCCAGTGTTCTTCTGGAAGTGTTCATTAAATATTTTTATGTAATACTTGTCAACTATTTTCTGTTAGAAGGTGGCCACAGATTAAAATACATGCCTAGTAAACTCCAGTTACTTGTCTAAATAAGTAGTACTGAGTAATAGCGAACTAAAAGGAGACGAGTTCCATGCAGAGCCCGGAATCCATGCGTCCCAATTTAAGATTGTTAGCCTTCTCTAAAATCTTATCATATCTATCCAATCTTAACACTTTAAAGTGGAGAGGTTTCACCGTGTTAAGCGATCTTTCATTTTCATCACCTTCCGTCTTTATTGTCGTGAAAACGGGTCTTTGAATAACTAGATGGTATTGGAGCTATTCTTGGATACTTCATTCTATGTTGACCCTGGCCATGTCAGAAAATGCTGGTACAAATGTTAAAGTAAACGGATTTCATTAACATCTGATGCGAACCGTCCAGTGATTATGAGACTTATTTGGATACAACCACAACGTTGCTGAGATATTTGCAAAACTCTGGACCGCAGGTGTCTATAGTGGGGAACGAACGCGCTATTGTCCTTTCCGGGGAGTAACGCAATCACCACCACACCATGCAGGTCCTTTGTTTCGCCTGTCTCTCAGCTATTTCTATCGATCTTTTGCCGCAGCAATCACCCGTCAGCGGGATTGATCTGGGGCGCCCAAATCGGCATAGAACCCACTTAAGCTTCTATAGCTTCTATAGTAGGCAGAAAATAAAAAGGTATAACATTACTTATTTGGATACTTGGATAGTCCATCTTCACCGATTGTGCGGAGCGGGGCGGGCCCAGCATAGTTTCCATTGTTTCGGAGTTTTTCTGGTTTAGCCATTGTGGTTCCCTGCAGTCCCGAGGTTTCCTAAGCGAAGGTTTGCCGCAGGTTGTCATCGCCAGAGGCAGTCGCCGCCCTTGTGGATCAGAGGGATATTTGCCACCATACAACTAGTCCGATACCAAGGCGGTGGTGGATCCTGGTAATGATTATGATGGAAATGAAAGTTGATTCGATCATGTCAAACTCATGCAAAGGGTGTTACAGTTCTTCAGATCTCCACCATCATATGGAAACATCTTAAATTTAATTATCATCTCTCCTTCTGATCTAAGTCATTGGGCACATATGGTAAAGCTAGTATGAGGAACATTTAATTCACTACTTTCTTGATGAGTTGGTTACGTTACTGTTTATTTGTTTATTTGTAGTAGCTGATGTTTTGACGGATTTTGTTTTCTTCAGAGCCAGGTAAGGTTAGGTTAACTGCAGCCTAATCATCCCAAATACTTCCATAACCTCAACAGAAAAACCACAAAACGTAGGTTTCAGTCGACAGCTTGTTCATGCACTCCTGTTATTAATGAGCCTTCCACTGAATGTTCAACATGGACACTAACCACAAAATTGGTGCATGAGATACCAGCAAGGTGTTCCTGAGTTTTAAAAGTATCGCTTTCACTAAGACAGAAAATTCTCTCAGCAAAAAGGCAATACACTTCTTCTGCCTCTTACAAAAATACGGACTCATGCTGAACCTTATCAAACGAGAATGACGACGTGGTGCATGCTGACTACCAGAGGACAACCACCGAGTGCTGAACATCGAATGCGATTATAACTAAACAGTATGGTCCTTAAAGGGTTTCAACTTAAGCCGAAATCGTCCTGACAAGCACCACCCATACTCGAAGAAAGGTAGGGTGGTAGCGCACAGCACCCACGTAAGCGACTTGACCCACCGGTGTGGTCCGGAGTACGGTGGTGTGCGAAGTAACACACATGATTATTAAAAGGATGCGTAAACTAAA